GCAAGGGATAGAGACTGGAATGAACATAGTGAGTGGTGTGTTCAGTGACGCCTGACCATATGTGAGAAGGGTGAGGGGCAACCTGGTGCCAGGGTTAAACTGGGACTGGGGTGGGGGGTGGGGGGATAGCTCCACCAGTTACCAGCCAAGGCATATCATGGGCTCATTGTTTAATTTCTCTGGACCTCTGTTTGTATATAGGGACATTATTTTTCCTGCTTGATAAGCTTGTTTGAAGGTTACACGATGGTGGTAAAGTGTTCATAGGCACACTGCTGAGCCTTCAGAAAAGTTTCCAGAAAGATGAGCCACTAATATTAATATCATTGTCTTAGACTGTGGAGGTGGAGAGGGCCACTGATTTACACCATAGATCTTATGAGTGGAGGAGCTGTATTTCCTGTAGAGTGGGAAGGGGTGGAAAACAGAGGGGAGGCAGGCCTCAGTTGCAGAGTTGTACTGGGGAAGGGACAGGACTTTGCTGGGGTGCCCCATCGCAGCGCTGTAATGTTGGTTTCTGGGCGCCTTCCTCTGGAGGCCTCGGTTGTTCTTAGCCCGGTAGGAAGATAGGGCACCGTCTCAAGGGATGACCTCCAGGCTGCACTGGCTCCACCTGGAGGCCTGGCTTCCTCTGGGACCCGGGGTGGCTGAGCGGGGCGGCGCGGGGCTGGTCTGGGGACGTGGGGGCCAGTGGCTGACTGGATGCCCCGGCCGGCAGTTTGACCACCTGGATTCGGAGTGGCTGGGAATGCCGCCGTTGCCCTCGCCCCGCTGCCTCTTCGGCCTGGGAGAGGCTCTCAACTCCATCTACGTGGTCGGCGGCAGGGAGCTCAAGGACGGCGAGCGCAGCCTGGACTCGGTCATGTGCTACGACCGGCTGTGAGCGCGGGCTGGGGCGGGGCGGGGCCCGGGGTCGGGGCTGAGGTGCCGGGGGTCCGGGGGTCCGGGGCTGTGGACCGGCGGACAGAGGCGGACTTGGGTAGAGGCGGGGCGATCGGCAGGGGGGTGCGAACGGGGACCTGATGGGGGCCGGTAACGCATAGGATGCACTCGGAATATGTTTTGGGTGGGCGGGCGAATGCAGAGACAGGGACCCAGCGCACGCCTGATCCCAGCGCTCGCCCTACTCCCGTCCCCTTCAGTTCGTTCAAATGGGGCGAAGCAGACCCGTTGCCCTACGCCGTCTACGGCCACGCGGTGCTCTCCCACATGGACCTGGTCTACGTCATTGGCGGCAAGGGCAGTGACAGGTGAGGCTCAGGCCTGGAGCGAGGGCACGAGCAGGTTTGTAGGTTAGAGCGGGAGCACAGCCTTCCCAGGCTCTCAGGGGTTTGTGCGGGCTGCGGGGACTGAGCCCGAGGAGGGGCGCTGTGCTCAGGCTTCCCCCTCTCACTCCGTGTCCCGCACCTTCCAGGAAGTGTCTGAAGAAGATGTGTGTCTATGACCCTAAGAAGTTCGAGTGGAAGGAGCTGGCACCTATGCAGACTGCCCGCTCCCTCTTCGGGGCCACCATCCACGACGGCCGCATTTTTGTAGTCGCTGGGGTAACAGACACGGGGCTGACCAGTTCAACTGAAGTGTACAGCATCGCGGACAACAAGTAAGACTGTTTCCTACAGAGACCAAGGGCCCCACTGTAACTGCCTGGCTGTGTGGGTTTGTGCCTGCTGGCCCTCTCTGTGTCTGTCCTGGCAGGGCCCATAGTCTGCCCTGGGCTCTGCTGTTGAGCTTGGACATCCACACAGAAATAGCCTCTCTCCCCTGATCAGCAATGAGGAGGGCTTCCCCCACAAGGGAGCAAGGGGTAAGGGCAGCTTACTCTGCAGGAGAGAGCTCCCAGAAGTGGGGAAGGAGATGCCAGGTTCCTCATTCAGAGACTCATACCAGGCAGTGGCCTGGTGCCAGGGACACGATGGTGACCAAGGCAGAAGCTGCCTGGTCCTGGGAGGTCTGGAGAAAACTGAGCTGGAAGCCCATCTGGACTTAGCCTGTGGAAGGGACGGTGGGAGAAGGATGCCTCAGGCAGAGGGAAGTTGGTGCCAAGGTAGTTAAGAGGAAGGCCTTGGCTCAGGCTGGATGGGGTATGCTGGGTGGGCTGGAGAGGTGGCAAGCAGGGCTGAGGGACTTTATCCTGAGGGCGGTGAAATGCTTGTGATGGGTTTTAGGCTCACAGCTGTGTTTTCTTAGATGACAGCTGATGTGGAGAACAGATTAGTGATTTCCCAGGAGGCAGCAGTATAGCAAGGGGGGTGGTGGCCTGTAGATGGGGGCACAGCAGAGATGGGGCAGAGGGGATGTACTGGAGAAAGATGCAGGCCAGGGCATCTCACACTATAACAGACACACGAATCTCCTGGGGGTCGTGTTAGAATGCAGATTCTCTCAGGCCCGGGGAGGGGCCTGAGTGTGTCTTTGTAACAATCCCCGCAGGTGATGCTGATGCCTTCTGGCCCATGAGCCACACTTTGAGTTGCAAGAGTTTGGGAGACAGAAGAAATAGAATTGAGATTGATTGGGTGTTGGGGATAAGAGGGACAGGTGGGTGCTTTTGAGGGAGGGTGGGAGGTAATGACCTCTAATTGGCATTAGATCGGAAACATGAGGGTCCAGTTAGGACCTGTGGATTTGAGGGACCTGGGGGCAGCCAGGAGGAGCCCTCCAGGGCAGGGAGAATGCTGAGCTGGGGCCAGCAGAAAATGGAGGAGACGAGCTCCCTTGGGAGAGAGAGTGTAAGAGGGAGAAACCAAGGCCCAAGCCCCAAGGGATAGTGAAGGCAGCTACATCATCCAGGACGGTGCATGAGGACAGGAGAGCCTAGGCAGGAGGGAGGTGAGAAAGTCACATGAGCAGAGATGTGTGCTGCGCCTGGATTTTATGCTCTGTGGCTGGGGACTTGAGTGCTGTTTTGGAGGGTAGGGGTGAAGGCCCAACTTCAGGGCCAGAGGAGGGGAGTGACGACACCCTGAGAATAACTGAGCAGGGAAAGGAGAAGAATGTCAGGCAGGGGCACCAGGGGAGGACAGCTCAGTGGCTGCTGAGGCAGCGAGTAACTAATACTTAGTTCAGGAGCCAAGGAGGGACGCTGGGGAGATCCGTGGTGGATTTCATGGGGCAGAATGGATGCAACGACCAGGGGGCTGTGAAGGGAAATGGGTGGGGCAGGAGAAAGGGGAAGACCCAAGGGCAGTCCTGGGAGGGTCAGGACACAAGAGGTTGTGCTGGGAGCATGGGTGTCTGGGATTCGGGTTTCAAAGAGGTGCAGCTGACGCTGTGGGCACTGGGGCTCCTTAGGCCCCTGGGTGATGTACCTCTTCGTGCCCCCTTCTCCCCACCAGGTGGGCACCCTTTGAGGCCTTCCCACAGGAGCGCAGCTCACTCAGCCTGGTCAGCCTGGCGGGCACCCTTTATGCCATCGGTGGCTTTGCCACACTGGAGACGGAGTCCGGAGAGCTGGTCCCCACAGAACTCAATGACATCTGGAGGTGAGCCTGGCCCAGGGAGGTGAGGGGAAGCCTGAGCAAGGCTGGTGCCCTGCAGTGGGCCTGGCAAGCCTATTTGGGGTTGGGGTGATTCCTCTTCCAGGGAGTCCTGTGGGGAGTCCAGCAGATACGCCCTGCTCGGCCCCGTTCTCTCTGTGTGGCTGGCAAAGTGTGCAGTGGCTCTCAGGGCACCAGGCCCCATTGTGGAGCATCAGCAGTGTCACAGTCAGTAGCTGACTCCAAGGTTAGGGCACAGACCCACAGAAACAGGCCCCAGGGAGTAGAGGGGGCCCAGAAGAGGCAGCCAAGCCTTTCCTCCCTGCTCTGTCCTGGAGACTGGGGAGGCAATCGAGAAGAAGCTGGACCCCAACTTCTCAATGCCATCACTTTCCATGCTGGCCCTTGTTGGGAGTGGAGGGAAAAGGTTTCAGTGCCTTGGGGCACCTGCCGCAGGCATGGGGGTGGGTGGAACTTGGGGGTGGGGGGCTTTTGGAGTGCTAAATACAGAATTCTCCAGAGGAGAGGCTGTGGAGATGCAGGCCTTCCTGGAGGAGTGTGGTATTCCTTGAGAGATGGCCCTTCCTGGAATGTGGGGTGGCTGCTTTCCAGGGGTGGGCCTTGTGGGAGGCCCCCTTTAAGGGCATGAAGCTCGCATACCCAGCCATCCCTCCCTGCTGGGGCCCACATTGCAAGCTGACCCAGCTCGGTGCCCCTGTCCCCCATCCCTCCCACCCCCAGATATAATGACGATGAGAAGAAGTGGGAAGGCGTCCTGCGGGAGATTGCCTACGCAGCCGGTGCTACCTTCCTACCCGTGCGGCTCAACGTGCTGCGCCTGACCAAGATGTGACCAGCCCAGAGGGCCTGAACCGACATCCCTCCCGTCCTGTGGCCACACAGGCCTGCCCTGTGAGGGCTCCAGAGAGGAGGCTGGGAGAGGCCTGAGCCCACCTGGATCCCATCATGCTGCCTGGGCTGCTGTTTCGGCAGGGGACGGAAACTGCTGCCCGGTCCTAGCCTTTCCGGCAGGAATGAGACATTTAAGGGTTCACAAGCATCTCCATATCTTTGGTGTCCTTGTTCCACAGGCCAGATCCACAGAGACTTGTCCCAGGCTACATGCTGGCCCAGTCCCAGCTTGCGTGTGCATGGGTAAATTTTCCCACAGGACTCCATCTCCTTACCTGTCAGATGAGGTATGTCCCCTCAAGCACACCCTGTGGCCAGGATACATCACCCTCCTTAGAAAGAATAAAGTACCTTCTGAGTAAGTAGTTCAGGTCTGGGATCAGATACTCCAAGAGTCTGTGACCAAGCAGTTGAAGATTCTGGGCTTCAATGATTAGCTGCTGGGCTGGCCAGGTCAGCAGCCTCTGCACTCCACATGGGTGTCTCCTCCAGTCTGGGCACACCAAGAGCCTACTCCCCACCCTCTGGAGCCCAGAACCTCCATGTCCTCATCTAGCAAGGACAAGGAGCCAGGATACTGCTGGGGGAAGGGACAGGGAACAGCCAAACTGTGGTAGAAAAGTCTTTTATTCTATCGGTCAGGGCCCATCTGGCCTGGCCTGGGCATGGGCCTGGAAACAGCTGAGCAGAACCCATCCTTCTCCCCTCTTCCCCCTCCAGCCTACTCCAGCTTCTCTTTGTCCTCCTTCTGCTCCTCCTCTAGTGCTAGGGTTCGCTCTCGTTCCTTCACCAGCTGGACACCACAGTAGGTGACAAACAGGACGGCCAGAGTGGTCTGGGGGAATCCTGGGTGGGAAAGAGTCCATCAACATGTGGGAGCAAGACCCCATCCTCAGTGAGTCTTCTCATGCCTCTCCCCACTTGACTAGCCCTCCTTGCTGAGTCCCCGGGGTGTTGGGGTGGGGTGGGGGCATTTCAGAAAGTCACAGTCTTCAAGGTTGGTACCCGGAATTTTCTATATCCACACCCCCATTTCCTTCACCTGTGAGTAGCAGGCGCCTGGCAACCAGCTCTGTAAACTCGAGGCTGTTCAGGCTTACAAGGTTGTACATGATGATAGCCCAGAAGTTCATGGCCCCGAAGAGGGCCCGGACCCTGCGAGACATCTGCTCCGACAGAGAGGCCTGCCCAGTCCAGGAAAGCATTGGCAGTGGGGCAAGAGGGCCAGGGGAAAGAGGACATGGTTGGTCAGAGGCCTTGCCCACATGGCCATTCCAGGTTCTGGGGATGGGCTTGGGTTTCTGAGATTCCCCAGGTCGGGTCTCCCTAATTTTTAAAAAATTTTTTAAATGGTTATTAATTTTTGAGAGAGAGAGAGAGAGACAGAGAGCAGGGGAGGGACAGAAGCACGCTTCAGGTTCTGAGCTGTCAGCATAGAGCTCGAAGTGGGTCTCAAACCCACAAACTGTGAGATCATGACTTTAGCTGAAGTTGGATGCTTAACTGACTGAGCCGCCCAGGCGCCCCAGCTCTCCCACATTGTTACAGATGAGGATACTGAGGACCAGAGAGAGGGGATGGTCTGACCAACACAGCCTGGCTCAGGTGCCCACTCCTCATAGGAGGAGGTGCTAGATACCCAAAGCAGGAGCCATTGGCCTGACAACAAGGAGGGTATGGTGAGAAAGTTCTGGACTGGGGGCCACATGTGGCTGGAAGACACCAGAGAGCAGCAATGCCACCCCCTCCAATGACCCAGCAAACCCCTGCCCCAGACCTTCCCCACTCACCTCGATTTGTGCTAGGGGCCCCCACTCTGCCAGCTTCTGCACCCAGAGCTCAAAGTTGAGGCCAAAGCAGTTAAGGAATGACCACAGGTAAACAATATCACAAGGTCCAAGCCACAGAGTGGTGATGGCAAATGTGGCCACGGTGGCCCCCAGCTCTGGGATTACCTCGGAGTGCTCCCCACCAATGTGGTCATATACATACCTGCAAGAAAGGCAGGAGAAAGGACAAGCGAGAATGTGGGCAAGGGCAAGTAGAGGGTGGGCAAAGCATACACAACAGGGGCAGCCCTCCTCAGTGCTATCATCCTGGGCACATTTTGCCCAAAGGAGGCTGCCTCTCCTCTACCCAACTTCAGAAGGTGGAAGGCTCAGTTTTGAATTCTCTATCTCCTTATTCATTCCCTATGTGATCTCATCCAGACCCAAGACTTTGAACAGTGTCTCTATGCTGATGAGCCCCAAATCTGTGTCTTTAGCCTGCTCGCTTGATTCATACATTTACCTGTCACTAGACATCTCACTTGAATGACTGATTCCCCCATCCCTATCCAAACCAGCTGCATCCTTATCTCAGATAATGACACTTCCATCCATTCAGTTGCACCCAGAAACCCTGGTGCCATTTTGGACTATCAAGTCCCCTCTCCACATCCAAGCCAGCAAATTCTATAGGCTCAACCCAGTCCTCACCACTGTTTGCCACCCCTCACTATCACCCTCACTCAGCCAGTCACTCTTCTCATAGATTATTGCAAGAGCATCTTAAGCCATTTCTCTGCTTCTGCCTTTGGCCTCCTACCATCTATTCTCTCTCTACAGCAGCTAAAGGCATCTTTTAAGAGAAGTCAAATCACATGACTTCCACAATCAAACCCTCCCCCAGTGGCTCCCTATTACATTTAGAATAAACCACTTCTCTACTAAGTCTAGAAGATCCCTCTCTGACCTCATCACCTACCATTTCCCCTCTCATTCATGCATGCTCTTGCCTTACTGGACTTCCTGTCCCTCAGACAAACACAGCTGGTCCCTGCCTCAAGCCCATGTACTAGTTCCTTCTCTCTGGACCTCTCTTCCCGAGATTTCCTTATCACTCAAGCCTCTGTTCAAATACCATCTCACAGAGGCCTACCCAGACCACAACTGTAGAAGCTTCTATCCTGTGGCCAGCTTCTATCCCATTACATTTGTTTTATTTTTTTATAATGCTTACCACTCTCTAAAATTATCTTAATTATGTGTTTGTTTACCTATTTATGGTCTGTTTCTCCCCACTAGACTGTAAGCTCCATGAGTTCAGGATCTTTGCCATGTTCATTGCTGTATCCCCAGTGCCTAGAACAATTCCTGGCATATAGTACGTTCTCACTAAATATTTGTTAAATAAATTCAGTAGAAGACCCATTGAGTAACTGGCCTCACCATGCCTTGACCTTCTCATTGCCAATGGTTTCTTCTCCACATCATCTCAGCCACCCATTTCCATGCAAACTCCAACTTAGTCACCTCTTGAAATTTCACTCCTTCCTAATTACCATTCTCCACCCAGGCCCTCCAGATGTGGCGCCCCCACCTCCACTTCTTCAATTTCATTGACCCCTCTGCCTCTTCCTCATCTTAAGACTCTGTCTTTACCACCATCTTTAATGGGCTTAAATTCAATGAGTCATTATTATAAATAACCTAAAACCCTGTATCGTTTACTTTCTTCTCACCCATCTGGGAGAGCCCAATTACCCACTTTCTCCTCACCTGAACCCAAGAAGCTAAGCCCTTATAAGGAAAATCTCACACATTCACATATTAGTGTCCAAATATCCACTCTTTTCAACCTCACTGGGCTCTCAATGCCAAGGTTTCTCTAGTCAGCTGCTTCTGCCATGCTCTGCAGTGACTACTCCACCCTTATCTTTCCCACAACTTGAATGGGTGTGGTGGGCAAGCTAGGCAAGAGGAAAGGAGACACAAAGATGCTGCTTCCCTCAATGCCCAGCTCTGCATCTCTCAGCTGGTGACCTTGCCTCCTACTTCATGGAGAAAACCAAAGACTTCAGGTGGATCCTTTACTTCTCTACACTAACCTGCCATCCTATATCCATGATGGCTTCTCTTCCTCCTTCCTGTCCCAAAGCCAAGTTGCTGCCTAACTCTGGTTCCATCACCTCCTGCCTCCTCAGAGACCTTACTCTAACAATCACCCCTGTATTCTGCCTCCCCAACTTATACTTCCTTTTAGCAACCAAGCATGCCCCATTGTGAGTGAAGTGAGTGAAGACACTCACTTCTCCCTTCAGCCACTCCTCTGTGTCCCCGTCAGTAGCTTTCCCAGCAGCATCTGACCAGCTGCCCCCACCATGCCAAGGATGGTTTGTTTCCAAGCTGTCATGTGGTCTTAACCATTCTGCTTCTCTGACCATGCCTTTTAGTCCTTCTATGGTTCTCCCTCTTCGTCCAACTGGAGTCCTTCCAGCTCCAATCTCAGCTACACCTAAGTCTCCTCTTCTTTACTCTCTCTCCTTGAGACTTAATGCACTCCCAAGGACCAAGGACCACCCTCCCACATTCATGATGTTCAGAGCTACATCAGTTTGCCAGGTTTCTCTGGACCCCAGATCCTCAGACCCAACCCACCTCCCTGAACCTCCCCACAATGATGTCTCCCAGATTCTCAGCAGACATTTCTCACATAGAACCCCTCTCTGGATGCCGCCCCTCCCAGATAGGAATCTGGGAGTCATCACCCTCTCCTTCCTGATCTCTCAATCCATGGCCAAGTCCTGTCCAGGCTTCTCCTGGTATGTCTCTACTCCATCCAATTCTCTCACCTCCAGCGCCCCACCCATGTCCAAACCTCTGTCTTTCACCTAGACCTCTGCCATGACCTCCTCCTTGATTCCTCTGGCCCAGGGCTCTGGACCAATCTCTGCACTGCCCTGCTCAGACACTTGGCAGTTTGATGTGCCCGTTGCCCCACCCCACCCCAACTCACTTGCAAAGCCAGTCGTTGATGCCACGGTCAAAGTGCCTGAGGGAAGAGAGTGAATGGGTGTAATCAGCCAGGAGCAGAGCTCCAAGGGAATGGGGGAAAGAGGCTACGTTTGGGAAAGTGGGGATCCCCAAGGCGAGTGCCCAAGACCTTGCACTCACGTTTCCGCGAAGACATAGAGTGCGGTGATGCACTTGGGAGGCTGGGGCGGGTCCAAGTGGTCAAGGCGTGCCACGGTGTTGACCACGCCGAAGAGGACCGCCGCCTTCACCCAGTCGTACACCAGGTTTGAATAGGCTAGGCCAGCTGGGGACAGGGTGTCATCACTGCCTGGGGGCGTAGCACGGGTTTTGCTCCCCAGATCCCCCAAATCCCAGGAGGGGGTGGCGAGGGGCCAGGATCTCCCCTACAGACTTTCTCAGCTGTTCGTGGGGGAGGTCCTTGCACCCAGCCAGTCCCCATGGAGACCTCACCCCCACTTCCTGGGGGAGGAGCTGGGCCCAGCCTGCCCCTGGAAGACATCTTCCTTGTTATAGAAGTCAACTCCAAGGCCCAGTGAGGCTGGCTTTGCCCCAATAGCTCCGGCCATGCACAACAAAGCTATCTCAAGTTCCCTGCATTTCAAAGACTAAGTCCCCGTTCACACCCTGCCCCCCACCCTTGGATAGGTGCTGTGCCCTATCAGGGTGTCAGCTTCCCCAGCTGTGATGCCATGGGGGTGCAGAGGTCTTTGTGTTTTTCCCAGTCCCTGTTCTGACCCGACTCGCACCCACCAAGGGCGCTGTCCGGGAGGCGGTTGGCAAACTTGAGGTCACTGGGGATGGTGAGGATGTAGAAGAAGTGGAAGAAGATGTCCACAGCCATGATGGCCACCATGCTGAGGCCAGCCTGGGCCCGGATGCGCCACAGCTCACCCTCTTGCCTCACCGGCTCCACCTGGCTCACCTGGGAGATGTGAAGTGACTGAGTGGGGAGGCAAGCCTTGCTGGAGGAATCATTTCTGAATGAGGAGTCACCAACTGCCCAGGGATCCGAGGCTGAGGGGAGACGTGGCTTCATCCTGGTAGCCCTGCCTGAGAGTGGAGACACTTCTCCACCCTGTGATCCTTGTCTGAAGGGGGAATGTGGCCCCTTGCTGGGGTTCCAGGAGGCAGGGCACTAGGGCTTCATCCTGGAGTCATGCCTGAGGATGGGGACACAGCCTGCCCTGGGAGTCCTAGTTGAGATGGGAGCCTCAGCCCTGCTCTGGGAGCCCACGGGGTGTCCCCTCACCTGGGCGTGGAAGCGATCAAAGGTCATGATGGGCCCGAAGAAGAAGAAAGGCAGGTAGAAGTTGTACTTGAGCAGATCAGCTAGGGAGTAGCGGCGATCGGGGTGGGCACAGCTCTCTAGTGCAAAGCTGGTACAACGCAGCACTGTGAAACCACTGCCCCCATGAAACAGCACCTCTTGAAGATCAAAAGTGCCTGTTACAAACCCGCTCTGGATGGGAAAGAACAGGCCGCCAGTTCACCAGGTGCCTCTGTCTCTGGAAAGCCCACCCAGCTTGCCACAGGGGCCCAGTCTTGTCCTGCCCCTGCCCCTTCCTCTGTTGCAGAGTTAGTCAGCACTGGCCATTGAGGGCTAATTCATGTTAAGTGCTTGGATAGAGCAGGAAATGACCCGTCCCTGCTGCAGTGGATGGGATCACTTTGTTGGCACGTCTATGCCACAGTCAAAGGCTTGGAGACAGGTGGGAAAGTGAAGGAAATGTGTGGAGACTCAGGAGGTATGGGGTCTGGATGGGGTGAGAAGTTTGGGGTTTGGGGTTCTATTCCTGTACTCTCCACCCTTGCTACTCCCCAGTGCACACCTGCCAGGAGATTAGGGGATCAAGCTTGAAGGAGGCTAGGCTGGCCAGGCCAAGGCCGAGACAGAGCCAGGGCTGGCCCAAGAGTGAGGCCACATAGAGGCTGACACAGTGGCCAAGTAGCAGCAGCAGGTACCAAGGGCCCATCGTGCCCAGCACAGCCAGGGCCCCATATACGGCATACATCCAGGAGCGGAGCTGTAGACAGGGAGAAGGAAAGGTTGGACCCCAACTCTTGTGGCTGAGGGGGAGTTGGCAGGAGAGGCTAGGGTGGCTCAGTCCAGCTCACCTCGGGGGCAACCATCGTGCAGAGTTTAGCAAACAGCACATGTCCAGAGAGGGCGAAGACGATGACATTGCGGAAGGAGGTGAACCACATCACCCACTCGAAGTCAGCCACGTCCTGGGGCAGGCCCGGGCAGGTTAAGGAGGGGCAGGGAGCAGAATGGGCTGGCACTTTGGCTGGTCAGGGTCCCAGCACCTCCCCAGCCCCTGTATCCTTATGCAGCAGAGGACAGCAATAGCTGAGGTCCTTGCCTTCCTTAGCAGGAAGGTAGAGAGGAATGAAGGGCACCGTCTGAGCTGCCCTGCCCCTCAAATCTCCCCTTCTGTTCAGCATAATGCCTCCCATTCCACCATGATTGCATTGTTCCTGGGAAGGATGGTACTGGAGGTCCCTGCTGAAGCATGTCTCAATTTATTTCCTAAATGAGCAGTGTCTGGGGCAGGTTTGATGTGGCCCCAGGAGGACACAGGATGGGCCAGTGGAGAAACTGAAGGCACTGAAGCTCAAGCCAGAGACCCTCCCCACTGTGAGTCCTCTGTTACATGGGAATATCTGGAATGGGGGAGAGTCAGGAAGGGTCTGAAAGGAGAGAGACATGCCAAGGGTCAGGGACCTCAGTCAGGGACGCTGGGGCATGGGGGACCTACCATCTTCCGGCCAATATACTCCCAGCCAGGTCGCACAGACTCCCGAAAGGCCTTCCTGCGGGCCCCATCTGAGAACAGAGTGACCTTAGTGGGGGCTGGGGAGGACTTACACACACACACACACACACACACACACATACACACACACACACACACACACACACACATACACACACACACACACACTCACACTGGCCCCTATAGCAAGGTTGACTCCCACCCTAGAGGGAGGGGAACAGGTCTAAGTCTCTCTCTCTCTCTCTCTCTCTGCCTCTGCTTCTTTGTGGGTCTCACTTATGTGTCTGGGGCCAGGTCTCTGACTGTATCCCTGAGTGTCTGAGTGTCTCTCTCTCTGTGGCTCTGTGTGCAGATATCTGTAGTGTCTCTGCATCTGTCTCTTCCTGTGACTACACCTAGCGCAACCCAACCCCCTGGGCCTAGGGAATATCTTGGCCTTGCTGGGTAGAACCGTGAGGCCCCAAGGGGAAGAAGGTTCCCACCCTCTGCTCCAGAGCCCAATTGTTACCTTGTGAAGCTTCTAGGAGGCCCCGGCCAGCATAGGCCAGAGCCCCACTCAGCACCAGGGAGTACAAGCCCAGCTCCACCGCGGGCAATGCTGTCTTGATGCCCATAGCCTAGATGGTGCTGGGGGAGACAGATCGAGTGAAGGCACTGATGCCCCCCAGCCCTGCCTAGCCCCACCTCATGGTCCCCCACAAAGGTATGGGGATCCCATTCCGAAGAGAAATTGCCCCTCCTGCCTGTCAGGGATCTCGTGCTATTATCCTACCCTCCCCTCTCCTCATTCTTTCCAGACCCCCCAACATCCTGTGCCCCTTCCTAGCTGCAGCTCCCACCCCCACCCTGCCCATTGAAGGCTCTTGAAAGTGTAAGCTTCACTCGCAGCCTGTCTGCCGCCTCTTCATTTAATCCTTCATAACTTTCAGGTAGACGAGTCCCCACTTTTTGCTCAAACTGCTTCTGCCAAGGCCTCATGTAACTTTCATGTGGAAGAACTCCTCTATATCACCTCAATCATGTTTCTGGCCCCCAGGGTCCCCACATCCCTCAGTAAGCCTCCTTCAAGTCCTAACAGTGCCCCACCCACCTCAGCGCCCCCTTCTCTGATTCCCACGCCCCTCCACAGTTGCCTTTACTTCCCTGAGAGCTCCTGAACCCCGAGGTCCTGCCGCAGCATCAAGCTTCCTTACCTCTCATTCAGCTTCCTGCCTCTCACTGACTCCCATTGCCCCAACCAGCCTCTGAGCCCCAGTCTGCCACTTCCCTGGTCCCTGCCTGTGTCCGTGGCCACGCCAGGACACAGGACAGGCCCTGGATGCTGGCTGGAGGCGGTGCTATTTGAAGAGGTGCCCCAGGGTAGTGGGTGCGGGGCCAGACGGGCACCGGGGAGCGTGCTGGCCACTGTCCAAGGTGCTGACCGGTATCAGGCTCACGGTGAGGCTAGCCACGCCCTCCTTTCAGGGCCTAGTTCATCTCCAAAAGTCCTGCTGGGCCACCCATTCCTATCCCCTCCTAGGCTGCAGACTGGTCTGGGGCTTTCCCAAGAGTGTCATGGTGAACAGACCCAGGGCAAAATTAAAGGGAGGAACATGTATAGGCACCTTCTTGGGCTGGGCTGGGCCAAGAGGTGGCCACCAAGACCCTGTCTCCCACCCCTGCTCCTCCCTCAAATCTTCCTTACCAGCACCACAACCAGCAGTCCTTGGCCCCCAGAGTCGGCATTCTCCCCACTACATAAATAGAGGAGTCATGGACCAGAGAGGGACAGGGGCCCGTCAAGGTCACACAGTGAGCCTGGGACAGGATTGCGTGTTCTTAGTGAGCTGTCTGGGATCTCAGGTAAGAGAAGAGTGTTGCTGCCCCTGCTCATACCAGGGAGCTTCCAAGCCTGACTTCTGCACTGTTGGTTTGAGGGCGGAGGCACCTCCTCATCGGCCAGGTGGGGGTAGGGAGGCCCGGAGGATCGGGTTATTGGAGCAGGAGCTTGAAACCGGAGCACAGTGAAGAGCCCGCGAAATAGCTTTGTCAGCTGCCTCCCACTTGCCACTTTCCAATTTTAGCTCCCCATGGCCGGTGCAGGGTGTCCCCAGTGAGGCCTCTGTACGCAGGTCCAGGGCTGGCCCCTGGCCTGGGACCTCTTCGGACAGACCCCTGGAACCTGGGCCACTGTGAACACAAGGATGCCCCCTGCCCCCCGATCCTGCCTGCCTCAGGTACACCTGGGGCAAAGACGGCTTTGGGTCCTGAAGTCTGGGATGAAGGGCCTGAGGTGGGCTCCATAGGTCTCAAGGACCCCAGAGTGGCTGTATCCCCAGATGGCACTGACCTTGAGAAGGCTGCGAGGGACCCTGGCACACTGCCCACCTCGGGGCTCCGGGGTCCTGTGTCCGACCTTGCGTCCGTCCGACCAGCTAGGCTCTGGGGCCACGGTGGGGTGTGTCCAGCCCTGGGGTCCCCACCCCCTCAAGGATATGAGCGGTGAGTGGTGACAGCAGGAGGAGGGTGGAGGAGGGCAGGGAGGAGGTGGCCTTCCTGGAGCGCAGCTGAGCAGAGTGGAGCAGAGCCGAATGCTGCAGAGCTCCTGGCCAAAGGGAGCCGCAGGGAGGATTGTGGGGGGGGCAGGGATGGGGGAAGGGGTGGCCAGTGGCACAGGCTCCAACAGGGACACCTGGGCCTCACTCCAACCTGCCTCTTCTGGTCTATAGAGTCTGTGCCTCCCTCTCACTGCTGCCCATAACTCCCCTCTTCCAGGAAGCCTTCCGGGAAGCCCCCACTGGCCTTGTGCCCTGCCCCCATTGCACACACACACATGCACATTTCATGATCAGCTCCATACCCTAGCCCACACCTTTACATATGAGCTCCCAAGGGCTGTCCCAGGGCAGATCCATCCAGCTCCCTGCCCTGATTCATTTCATTATGCCAAGAGTCCTAGATGGCCAGGCATCAGTGTCTGGGGGCAGGACTGGCTTAACTAGTGGGACTGGAACCAGCATGAGACATGTGGCAGAGAGGGCCCCATACTCCAGCCCTGTCCCACAGGCAGTTGCCCAGGTGGAGGGAGGCTAGCAGGGTCACTTGGCAAGGCTTAAATATGTATTTGGAGTGGCTGGCATCCTCTTGAGTACCCCTAACCAACTGGGAGCCCCCTGGGGGCAGCAGGACAGGGCCCTCACTCACAGAAGGGGTAGCCAAGGCCTCAGCCCAGCCTTCCCAATGCAGAAGGATATTGGGGCACCTGGGTGGCTCAGTTGGTTAACCGATGCAGAAGGGTATCCTGAAGATCCCACAAAAAGGACAGGAATACCTGATAGTCTCCCTTTAGGATGAGAATCTCAGAGTCTAAGGGAGCTGTATATACTTGTGCCTTATCTGTGAGGGCCTGTTTGTGCATGTGCAGTGAGGAGGGTCTGGGGTGGGTGGGAGAGTGGCATTGAAGGAGCTGTGTGACTGAAACAAATCACAGGACAGATCCCTGGGCTCCAGCCACAGGCTCAGCTGAGGATGGGGACAGAATGGGCTGCTCCCAGTATAGAGGGGTGATGGACCAGAGAGGGACAGGGGGTCCCCCCTCCCCTAGCAGAGCCTGATCAAGGTCTGGGGAGGGGAGAGAAAGTCCCTTACCCCCCCCCCCCCGTAAGGCCCTTAGGCAATGAGCTTCCTCTCAAGCAGACACATTGCCCCAGAGGAGGAAGCAAGGAGACCCCAGCATACACACCACACAGCATGGCACAGAGGCCTTTGTCATGGGGGTTGGCCCTGAGAAGTGGACCTGGAGATTGCTGCATGGTATAAGGGCTGGGAAAGGGCTGCAGCTGGGATCATGGGCTCACTGGCAGAGGCCAGTGTCAGGGATGGATGCCTGAGCCAGACTTCAGACGTTAGGGAGGGCTTCCTGGGCAGGGGTGGGGGTGCAGCATACCTGAATGGTAGAGTCAATGAGGTAGAGTCAATGGTTGTTAGAAGGGTAGTAAGTTAATCACAGTAGCCAGGCACGGTTCTGAGGCTTTACATGGACTCCTTTTAATGTCACCACAACCCCTAGTTGATAGAAAAAGAAACTGACACGCAAGGAGGTCAGCCCCATAAGGTTCTAGAGCTGATGGCTCTGCAGCAGCAAGAACTCAGCCCACGCATCCTGGGTGCAGGCTGAGACCAGTCCAGGCGAGCCACCCAGTTCTCACGGGCTCAAAGACAGTGGCTCGGAGAAGCAGATGGGTGGTTGGGCTCTGCAGGGCAGAGCACAGGCTCTGCTAGTTGACTTGAGCCTGAGCCCAAGATCTGCCTCACTGGTGGGACCCACTTCGGAGCCTCAAAATCCATGTATCAGCGAGCCTGCTCTGACCTTATTGGGCTTTTAGGGGGATTCCATGACTCACTCCACGAAGGGCCTGGCTCACTGAATTGTTCATGAAGAAAGCCACAGCTCCCTCACTCTGGACGCCTGGATAGGCAGAGCTCACCCAGCAGGAGCTGTGCACCGGGCGACCCCACACAGTGGGGTCCCCATGGAGCCTTGCATGTGGGGAAGGCAGGCTGGATAGAGGGCAAGTGAGGCCTCTTGGACCTGGCACTGGATAGTATGAGGGTGCTGGCAAGGGAGGGTGCCGGCATGACCAGACTGCAAAACAAGGGCAAGAAGTTGACTGGGCTTAGATCAGCACAGAGGTCGAAGGTCAGCTTCCCAAATGCTGCAAGGGCTACTGGGAAAGATGCAGTGGACGGGGGACCAATTCTCTTAAGTCTCAGTGTCTCCTTTCATTCCCAGCATGTTGTTACTCAGAGTAAAAATGTGTGGAAAGTATCCTGTGGGTCTGTAATTGTGTTTTGTGTCGGTTGTAGGCCAGGTCTGTGTATATGTTTTGCATTGTATGTTGTTTGTGGCATGTCTGCTGTGTGCGTATGTGTATGCTGTGTGCACTTTGTGTGTGCATGTGTGTTATGTATATAGGTGTGTGACATGTGTACTGTGTTTGTGTGTATGTCTGAGGCTCAGGGACTGTAGGCGGTGCCTGGGGAGAGGGGGTGGGCTAGCTGTGGCCTCGCTGGGGGTGGAGACAGAGAGGAGAGGCTGGTTCAGGCCATTGCATCTGGGGGTTCAGAGGAGGACCCGCACTGCAGGCCACCTTGCCCTGAGCTCCTGAAAGCAGGGGAGTGGCCCCATGGCAATGGAATGTTTTGGGGGATGGAATCAGCCTGAGCCTGGCCGCAACCTTGTCCAGCTCAGCTGTGGTGCCCCAAAGGCCTTCACAGGGACAGTGGCCAAGCCACACCCACAGCTCAACCAGGCCTCACCTGTCTGTGCCAGAACCTGAGCTCCCAGCATCTGCCTGGGGTGCGGCCAGGGAGAGGCCTCACGTGGGGTCTCTTCACTTGTCCTTGTCCCTCTGCCCTCCAAGCACCTGTCTGTCTCCTCCACTTACCACCTTTGGGCTCTGGGCAGGGACCTCAGTGTTCTCATTTGTGAAAGGCAAGTCCAGCCCACCTGCCTGAGGGCTGAGGAGTCCCCACTCCTCAGGGTCCCAGGGGCAGGCGGCGCTGCTCAGGAGGGGCCTCGGATGCTGAACTGGGCAGACCCAGCTGCCCTACTCCCCACCTGGCCCACTTGCATTAGATCCCCAGAGCCCCAGGCCTTGGCCCCTTTGACAGCTCCTCCCTTCTGTAGGAAGTTCTGCTCCCAGGCTTTCCTGGACCTTCTGCTTCCACTCCCCACCTCCCACTCCTCAGGGAAGCATGGACAGCCCCCTCTCTACCCAGACCTGGGCAATGACTCTTCAAGCCTCAGCAGAGAAGATGAGTGGCTCTGAGGGGCTGCACTCTGTGCATCCCAGCCCCCACCCCCCACCCTCTGTCCCAGCTCCCACACCCTTCCCCTCTGTCCCAGCCCTATTTTCTGTGCCTCTCTGACTTGGCTGGGAGCTCCCTGAAAGCAGCGAGTCAGATCTACCTCTGGACTGGCTGCTCACAGGCCTAAAGAGGCTGGCATGCTGGTGGCACTCCCCACCTGATGGCCGGCCAGCTGAGTGGGTGATGGCCTGTGGGTCTGTCTCCTCAGCTGGCAGGGGACTTCCTAGAGCTCAGGGACCGTGTCTGTCTCACCTGACTCCCCCGTGCCTGGGGCAGTGGCGCTGCTCAACAGGTACTTGCTGAACTAACAGTGGTAACTAAGGGCTAACATTCATTAAGTGTTTACTGTGAACCAGCCACTGTACTAGCACTCGACCCTCTTTAACTCAGCGACTCCTGAAGAGGCTTTCTGATGGAGGACAAGCAGACTTGGTCTGACTAAGCTGGGGCAGTGGGGGCAGGTGCCAGAGACATGACAGGAACCCCCAGCTCACAGCTACTCAGCAAAGCTCTCAAGGTTGCTCATAGAATCTGTAAATGGAGACCGGTGCCTCTATGCCCGCAGTTGGCCTAAGCAAAGACTGAATGCCCAGACTGACCTCTGCAAGATGCCAATCAATCAGTTGACCCCAAAAGGAGCATACAAGATTTACTACACCTGATGGCAGTTTTTCTGCCCTCTCTCTCTCATATAAATCCTGTTTTATCTTTGTGGAATGAAATCAATCTGTTGATACATGTGCCTTGTACAGAAGTGAATGGCAACCAAATAATTAGCTAAATGTCTTTGAGCTATCCTTTGATACATAGAACAACAGTCCTTGAACGAGGTTTCTAGTTTTGTCCCCATTTTACAGATGAGGATGTGGAGATTCAGGGAGGCTAAGTAACTTATCCAAGGCCGCAAAGCTGGTGAATTGGAAGAGAGATCTGCTCCAGACACCACCCCCATTTAGACCCCGTGACTTGAGGCACTTTCTTCTCTCAGATGCAGCCTTGACCCAGGAAGGGTAACAAACCACTCTTGAGTGATTAGGGTGCAAGTTATGCCCCCTGGTCCTTCCCACTCTGTCCATCCCTGAGAAGGGGTAGCTGGTCCTCTGCCCACTTGTCCCTCCTGGGGACTTCACGGGGGGCTGGAGCCTGCACACATGTGCTCAGACCACTCTCAGGGGGTCCCCCACGCCTCTATGTGCTGATTACTTGGTCTGGTGTTCCGACTCTGCCTTGGGCCCACTCCTCACCGTCACACAATGTCCCCTCCCAGCACAGGCCCTCTCAGTCCCCCTGGCCATTTCCCTCCACAAGGAATTGGAGGGAAACTCTCCCTTTACAGGGACCCTGAGGACCCCATCAGGACTGCTGCTTCATCCTGTTGGCCTTCACTACCCTTTGCTGAGGAGCCTCTAGACCTGCCACTCCAGGCAGGGTCAGGGCCTTCCTGACTGTGGGGCAGCACAGAGTACCTCCACAGCCCCATCCCTGGGGTCCCAGGGGCCCCAGATGGCTTCCCTTCCAGAGGAGGTGTTTGCACGGCATGTGCCCCTGCTTCTGTGAATCACTGTGCTAGTGACTGGTCTTCAGGTGTGGGAGTGTGAGCACATGCCCATGTGGGGGGAGTGTGAGCACATGCCCATGTGGGGGGCATGTGAGTGTGCAGCCAGCCATGTCTGGGGGTGTGTACACTGCTCATGCATGGCTGCGTGCTGAGTATAGGTATTAGTGGGCCCGTGTGTACACAGGTGTGGCCAAGGGGTCTGGTTTGTATGTGTGGCTGTGACTGGCTTTCCTTAGGCCCACACCTCCCCATGGCTGTAAGTGCAGTGAATTGGGGGTGACTCTGTGACAGTTACAGAGGGACCTGGGGGCTCTCCTCCAGCTGTCCCCTGTGTGGTCGTGAGGGAGGAACACCATGCCTTTGCCTGGGCTCACTGCCTCAGACTCCTTGTGCCTGGAGCTCCTGCCCAGCTCCGTCCCTGCCCTCCCCCAGCACCCGCTAGCTGCAGCCTCTCTGGAAGCAAATGGAGGGGAATCCCGGAGCAGCTGGCTGGGGGCAGGCACCCCTGTCCTGGCTAATTGCTTAACTGTAGTGTTAAATGTTAGCCTAGCTTCTTTCTTGATTATTTCTTGAAATAAGCCTTGATTTCTTCATCTGCAAAATGGGGTAACAAATCCCTGGATTACTAGAGGATGAGATGGGGTCAGGTTTCCACAATAGATGCTCACTCACTAGGACCTTTGGCGACTATGAAAATAATCATTATTATTATAAGTCCCCAGGGTTTGCATCTAAGGAAGACCCCTGAAGAGTGGGCTGACAAAGTGGCCTGGGAGCATGTGTCCCCAAGGCTGCAAAAGTTGGAGGTGGCTGCAGATAGAGCCATAGAGGGGAGGGTGGGGGGTGTATGCCCTGGTGAGGAGGTGGGTGGGGTTGGTTGGCCTGGGGGGCTCAGCTAGAGCTCGAAGAGCCCTCCTGTGCATATAGAGCCATGTGGGCCGACAGGGCCTCCCAGCTGGGTCCTAGGACGAGGGTGGTGAGCACCTGGGCATCTGTCAGTTCACAGCCGCCCTGTTGTCTGAGAGCTCATGCCAGTGCTGAGCAGGGGCTGGGCCTCCCCACCTGCCACATCCATGCTTGTCCAGGGTCTCCTGCAGGGCTCCACCAGGGCTTTCCCTTTGCCCTCCTGGTCTGGGATGTTGGCTTTGGTCACCCTTGGGGAACCCCTTCTGGGAGAAGGGGCTGAACCACCTGCCCCAGGTTAGCTTCCAGGAGCAGATGGAGTCCTCAGACAGAGCCTCATCCTCTCAGAGCCCGAGGATGCCACGTCCAGCCAGGCTGACACTGAGCCACCATCCTAGTGCTTGTCCGCCTTCTGCTGCCGCAGGGCCTGCAGGAAGACCCCTTTCACCTGGCCCAGGGTCTCGTGATACATATGGAAATCCTCCTCCTTTCCACGCAGGGCGCTGCCCAGGGCAGCCTTCAGCATCTCATTCTCCTCCACCTGGATGGCCAGCCTGGGCCACGTGAAGAAAGGGCTTAGCGTAGCCATGTGGGCATACATGTGGGAGCATGCATGTGTACAAGGATGCCGGGAATAGGGCTGCCTGCATGCTTGCTCTTTAGGCTCAGGTTCTCCTGGACCCATCCCCTCCTCCCACAAGTACTCCCTTGGGGGAATACCATGTGGGATTCTTCTCTAGGCCCGCCCACAGCCCTGGGCCTGGCACCCAGTATTCCCCCAAATGTTGGCTGCCTCAAGGATGAGTACTAATTTGTAGAGGTCCTCCCCATCCTTCTTTGAATATCACAGTCTCGGACCTTGAAAAGTTTAACAGAGTGAGAAAAGTGGGTTTAGCAACCCATGCTTAGCACAACTTCTTTTGGGACTTTGAGGTCATCAGGGATATGGCTGCCCTCTGATGGCCAGTTGCTGAATTGCAGGCCCAGAACTCTGGACAAACAGAAGTCAAAGGGGGAGGGACACAATCCTTCTGCCCATTGAAGCATCTCCACCCAATACCACCCTCAGGAAGATGGGGCAAGAAAGCACCTGGTGGTCAGCTCCTCCATCTGCGATTCCATGGGCACACTGGAGAGCTGGGTGAAGGAGGGGTCCTTCCTTTCACTCCCATTCGGGTTGTGCCTGGTTTTGGAGGTGGGCACACCTGTGGGGCGGCAGCAGCCACTTTCTGTGATGATGCCATGGCCCCATGTAAATGCTCTCCTTCCCCCTTCTGCCCCCACCTTCACTGCCTATTTCCTGCTTTTCCATTTGCTGAAACATTATACTTCCTTCAAAATGAAGGACAAGGCATAGCATAACATATAAGTTGTCAAATCACTTTGTTGTACACCTGAAACTAACATTGTGTGTCAACTACATTTCAATTAAAAAAAAAGGTTTTTTTTAAGATGAAGGGCAAGGGGCTACCTCCATCCAGAAGCCCTCCTGATGCCTGCTCTGGATCCCCTCGGACTCAGGCATTGGTGCCTGCCACAGCCCTGATTCTGCTTGCCTGGTACCAGGGTGGTTCCTCTTGTTATGGTCTCCAACTTGGCATTTCACAAGTTTCTGGAAGGCAGCTCGTCCTGAGGTCTGCTCTGCACACTGAGCCCGAGTCTAGGCCATTGCTGCCTCTGATGCCCTCACACCACTGGACTCCCCACCTCCAGAGCCTACCCTGGCCAGCAGCTCCCTACATACATGCAGGGGATCCAGGGTGGCCAGGGCCAGAGGCCACAAAATACTCAGAAAAAGAAATCAAAGCCAACTGGCAGGGAATTTGGGCACAATCACAGCATCAGAAAACCTGTGCTGAAAAGGCCCTCAGAGGTGGTGTAGTTCTCAGGGATGGTGTGGCCCAGGGAAAATCACCCTGCATCGGCAGACTTGGCTTCTACCCCCCACCCCCCACTGTGTGGCCTCCAGTAAACCATCAACCTCTCTGAGCTGGTTTTCTCATCTGTAAAATGAGGTTGATAGTTCTTGCCTCTAGGGCTTTGTGAGGCCTGGGTGAACTCACATTTATACCTCAGGACTTGTGTGATCTGACCACTTCCTCAGTACCTTGTCACTTCTTTAACCTTGCCTCATATTCCCCTCCCCTTACTATACTCTACCCTGACTTGCTGTTCCTTCAAGCCTCCAGCCAAGCTCTCACCACAGTACCTTTTGCACTTGCTCTTCCCTCAGGTATCTGTATGCCTCATTCCCTGCCCCTGCCATTGTCTCAACTCCCAGCTGCTCTCAGCACCTCCTATCTCCTCCTCTGATTTAACATGTCTTTTAGTAGTTTATTTGGTTATCATCCATCTTCCCTACTGGAGTGGAACTGCCATGGAGTGACCAGATTCCAGAATTGGGTCTCCTCATTCTACAGATGGGGTCGTGCTCTGCCCACGTCACAGGCCAGCAGGTGGCAAAAGCCACATGAACACTTTCTTTCAGGCAGCTGCTCCTTGCTGTTTAGGCAGAACCGAAACAGTTTTTCCTGCCATGGCTTAGCACCTCCTGACTAGGTTACTCAGGAGGTAAGTCCAAGGCCTAGAAACACTATCCTCCTAGAGGACCTGTTCCTGAGGGCCCAGGAGAGTCAGCAGGGCTAGCTACAGGGACCATCCCCAGCCTGGATTCTCTGCAACTCCAGGAAGGCCCCTTGAGTCCTAGGCCTTGCTGGTTGGAGAAGGGAGAAGGGTGCAACCCCTCCTTTGTGCCTCACTCTGGCACATCATTCTGAAATGTTCTCATCTCATCTGGGCTGGGGACAAAGGTCTGAGTGTCCTTGCTTCGGGGGGTGGAGGCTGGGGAATATAGTAGAGTGTTGAGAGGCAGGGCAGTGCGGGTAGCACCTCACTCCAGAGCCTGCAGGGGGTTGGGATGGGGACGTTAGAGTGAGGCAGGCCTAGCCCCTCCACACTAAAGATTCTTCCTTCCTTGGCATCTGGCTCTGGCATCCCGCACTCCCATCTGGCTGCAGCCTCACAAGATGCTGATGCTGCTGGTCCAGGGATGGCACCTTGAGAACGACTGGGTTAGAGCACTGGATCTTTTAGTTAGGACAACAAAATCTCCCTGTGCAGCTAGGTGAGGTCAGGGGGTGAAGGCAGATGTGAGGAGGTGCCTTCTCTCTTCCCCTTCCTGCTGCTGGTGGTGAGGCTGAAGCGACCATCATAGACCATGGGAGCTGCGTGTTGAGCATGAGGGAACACAAGCCAGGTTCCCGGCCTGTGGAGAAGCCACTCCGGCCCTGCTTATGCTCTACTGCTGTAGGAAGCAGAGAGGGACTCTTCTCTCAGTCAGCCACTGCCACTGTTCTGGCCTGCCAGCAGGCCACCTCTGCCTTGCAACCAACTCTAAACAAAGTCAGCTTGGGACAGAGGGTTAAGGGCTGTGGTGGGGGTGGCAGTGGAGGTGGTAGCTGAGGCACTGCCACTTTTTATAAGGGTACACAAGTGGGCTGGGTCAGAGCCACATGGGCCGATGGCCTTCGGGGGCTTGTGGTTCTGAGGCCTGGGGAAGAGGACACCCACAGCGTGGGCAGGCAGAGGTCTGCCCTGATGGAGGCCTTTGCTTCCCACATTCTTCTCTAAGGGGCTGATGGGCTCCCCCATTAGCATCAAGGCCACCCCCCTGCTGCTGGGGCCCTGGGCCAGCCCCTACCTGCTTTGCTCCTGGGGGCTGCTCTTTGGGAGACTGGTGTCCTCCCAGGCTCTAGGCGCATCTTCTCCAGGTGTTGCTCCAGCACCACGGTGCGTAGCCGCTCCTCCTGCAGCTTCTTCTCAGATTCTAAGAGCTTGCTGTTGCTTTCCTCCACCCTGGTGATTAGACAGGAGGGGCTGCCATCCATCCACCAGGGCAGACAGGGGCAGCCCCCACCCCACCTGCTCTGGCTCTCAGAGAGGCAGGCACATTGTGCCCTGGGGGTGCCGTGACTTGTTCTTTATTTTTACCTCAGGAACACAGGAACGTGCATCTTAAAACCATACAGTTCTCTCCAAGGCTCAAAATGAAAAGCTCGCCAGCCTCTCGCACTCCTGCCCACTCCCATCTCCGGCTCTCCAGAAGCAATCACTTAGAACACTTTTAGCTGTTTCTCTGAATATTTACTGCCATTTTTCTACAGATGCCCACACTGCTATTTTTAAGATTTAAATATAATCTTTCAACTTCCTATCACGCAACAGGAGAATTTAGTTTTATTTTGGTCTTCCCCTTACCAAACAGAATCACCCCTCCTCTTCCCAATGTAGTTACATTACCATTCCTCAGCTGAATTAATACTAGGTGGTGTATGAGTTTTCCATTTCTGCTGTAACAAATTACCACAATCTTAGCACACTTATTATCTCATAGTTCTGTAAGTCAGAGTCCCAGCAGGCTCTGTTGGCTTCCCTGCTCCAGATTCTGGTGTTGCCTGACCTGGGTTCTTACCTAGAGGATCTGTGGGGAAATCCACTCCCAGGTTTATTCAGTTATTGAAAGAATCCAGTTCCAACTGAAGGACTGAGGTCCCTGTTTCCCACTGGCTGTGGGATGGGTGATTTTCATCTTTCAGAGGCCACTTGGCCCTCTCCATCTTCAAAGCCAACCAGACACCCTTAGGATGCTTTGACTCTCTCTGACTTCTTCCATGGCAGCGCTCTCACTGACCCCATCTGGAGAAATTTCTCTGCTTTTAAGGGCTCAAGTGATTAGATTGGGCCCACCTGGTAATCTAGGATAATCTTCCTATTTTAGGGCCCATAACTGTAATTGCATCTTCAAAGTCCCTTTTGCCACATATAAAATAGTCACAGGCACAAAAGCAGAGAGTAAAGAGAACATGGGACACAATCCTGCCTACCACAGGTTACATTAGGGCAATTATTTAGACATGTAGCATGGTAATGATCACATTTTCTTATTTAATTTTTGCTTTTCTTGGAGTTATTGATTGCTTTATGTTTATTATTATTTATTGTTGCTATTCATTATTATTTTCTATATGCCCATCATGAGTTCATGGGAACTGAAGACAATGCAATTCAGCCATTTCACATGAAGGATTTGATTAATTGCACTGGGGCTGGGCCCAAGGTCTTTACTGAGGCCAGGAATGGCATTCCAGACTTTTGTGATATGAAAGGCTCAGCTAGAAGTCCTGGACTCCCTGAAATTTAACCGAAGCAAATGGTTGCATACACACATGCAAGTCAGAGTGGAGGCCTGGAAGTTTACAGTGTTGGAGGAAGTGGCAAGAGTCAAGAAGGAGCAGAATGGTGACAGTTATGAACAGTATACAACTACTAACACAAAATTGTACATGAACACAGTTATATAGCTACTAACATGACTTGTTTAAGCATGTTCCTTGAAACTTAATTTGCAAAGGCAAAAAAAAAAATAACCTACAGGTCCATCAACAGGGGAAATACAGCAGAAGTGGTAAACATTCATAGCATGGAATGTGATGGAATATGCCACACAGTGGGTGCCAGCCTTATGTCCACACATAGCTGTTTAAATGGAAATTAGTGAAGATGAAATAAAAAATTCACTTCTTCAGTCACACCAGCCATATTTCAAGTGATCAGAGCCACATGTAGCTGGTAGCCACTGCATTGGACAGCAGAGCTTTAGAACACCTCCATCATCATAGAAAGTTCTACCAGACAGCACTGCTTCGGCAATAAGAAAGGAGGTAGAGCTACATGTACAAACATGGATCTCCAGGTTGTAGGATTGGTGAACAAAAAAACAAGTATCACAAGAATGTACATAATACGATACTATTTATGTAACTAAAGGAAAAATAAGTCATAGTGGATTAATGCAATAAAAATACTCCTTAGCCATAAAAAGGATGTGTGCTGACATGAAGATGATTCCTGAGATATATTACTGAGTGAAATAAGTAGCAGAAGATTATGCATAATATATGACCTAATTAAAAAATTTATAACAGATTAAAAATTTAAAAACAAATAGATACCGGTGCTAATGAAATTCAGCCAATGAGCTGAAGGCAGGGGTCTGCAGTAGTCACTGACTGTCATCTGTGGGTGAGGGGCTTTCATTTTCCTGTCGTGTGTTTCAGTAATAATGTTCGCATGTGTTTAGGTTTGTACTCTATTTGTGATATGGGAAATAAGAAACTAACAGCCAACACCATAAAAATACTAAAGAGCTTTATGAAGTCTGACAGCATTTAGGAACAATTGAACTTTGGGTTTCTCCTCCCAAAGTGTGCCATCCTTGAGGAATCTTGATAAATGTCACTACCACCCATAGAGGTGCTTGGTCTAAAAACCGGAGCATCCTTCTTGCCTTATCTCTCTTCTTTGCTGCTTTCAGCTTCCAATTCATGATCAGGCCCCACAGCTTTTCTTCTAAACACACACCCAAGCCCGGCTCCTCCTCACTCCTCCACCTGTGGCCTGGTCTGGGGCTGCTCCTCCAACCGGCCCCTATAGATTTTACTTTCTACGTGAGACTTCTCACTGGTGCTCTGGGTATTCTCTTTTGACCAGTCTGTATCTCACCAATTTGTCCTTCTTTAATCATTAACTGGGCTAATTCAGCCAGATCCTTGTTTGACACGGCTTTCTAATAGCTCCCTAACATCACAGACGTCAACCTCATGACATGCCAGAGTTTTTGTTAATTTGCCTTTTTACTTTGTAAGTGATTTTCATATATTTCAAGAGTCTGACCAAATTGACCCAATGGCGGCATAAAGTGAACAATGTTAAGTAAGGCAAGTCATTAGTGAATGGTTTCCTGTTAAAAATTTCCCTTTCGTGAGGACTGTAAGTGTGGGGATGCTCAGATAAGAGGGTCCCCATGCTCAGGAATTAGTTTAATATAAATGATACAAGACCTTTACGAAGACAAATGTATATAATATTATATATTGCACACATAATACTACATACATAATTCATAAAGAGCTCTTTACAGATATAAAGAAAAAATATAAACAACTCTCTTTAAAAATGTGCAATAGTATGAATATACATTTAACAGAAAAGAACATGTAAAAGGCTAGAAACATGTGAAAAATATGCTCATCCCCACTTTTGCTTATAGCAAAGTAGATAAAAACAACCATGAGATAATAGTGTTAGCCTGGCAAAAATGTTATACACTGATAAAACTTTGTAGAGGTGAGGCTATGGGGAAATGGTGGATAATTCACATCATTAGTGGGAATGTAAATGAATTCATTTTGAAAGGGCAATCTGCCATTATTTGTGAACATTTAAATGTACACATTCTTTGATCTAGTGATTCCACATTTAGAAACCTAACATGATATACTCTTAACAAAAATGTAAAGATGCATTTAGTGTGAGTCCATCTTTTAATAAACATGTATGTGCATATATGTGCACATATGTATACAAACACATATAGTTCTGTATACATTGTTGTATGTGCCAAGAAAACATTTTAGAAGTTCTGCAGTTCTTTTCTATGAGGAATGAGGAGTGGTAGGTTGGAAAAGGAAGCTTTTTACAATAAGTAAGTATATGTTTATAATAGAAAAACCAATAAAACTTCCAATCACATAAAGCAAGGATTTTAAAAAATGTTTATTTATTTATTTTGAGAGAGATACAGCATGAGCAGGGGAGGGGCAGAGAGAGAGAGAGAATTCCAAGCAGACTCTGCGCTCTGCATGGAGCCTGACTTGGGGTGGGATCATGACCTGAGCCAAGATCAAGAGTCCGATGCTTAACTGTCTGAGCTACCCAAGTGTCCCATAAAGCAGGGATTTGGATGCCAATGTTGAGTGTAGAAGCTGTAAACTTGGGCTCCTATTAGGCAGCAAGCTGCAAGGAAGCTCTCTGTATTATTCTGGAAGCCTCAAAAGAATGCTTTGTTTGCAGTAAGAGACTGAGACAAAATCCATCCATAAGCTGGGGAAGTGGTAAGAAAGCTTGTAGTCTACCAGGCCTTAAATGTGTTGGTGGGGAAGCACCGATCATGCGAAAATTGAAACACAAGGCCAGCACTTCAGGTGCTCAGGAAATCCTAAGCCAATAAGAGACCAATCAGAGACCACCAAAACCCCAAAGCTCCATAGAAACAAAAGCAGAACCATTCTGTAGGAGCACTTTCATAACCCAAGAACTCCCACAACAAGAAGAAAACAACAGCACTGAAGACAAGCTCACAGAAACAATACAAAAATATAAAACCCATAGAGAAATAATTTACCATGAGGGGTAGTCAACAGACATTACTTAGGATCCTAAGAAGAAATGAAGATGATAGAGCACCTCTGAAAGGATGAAACAGGTTTAATATTATTACAAGGAGAAAAGCAAGAAATCTTAAAATAGGTTCCATGGCAGATGAAGTATAGCTGAAGAGATTTAATGAGCTGGAACACAGATTTGAAGAAACTATGCAGTTATCAGCCCAAAACATTGAGGAGGTTTAAGAGTTGCAGAGGAAAGAAGAAGGTCTAACATAGGCTGACTAGTCATTTTATTTTATTTTATTTTTAAAGTTTATTTATTTTGAGAGAGAGAGAGAGAGAGAGAGAGAGCGAGTGAGCAAGTGAGCATATGCAAGCAGGGGAGGGGCAGTGAGAGAAGGAGAAAGAGAATCTCAAATCCCAGGTAGGCTCCATGATCAGCAGGGAGCCTGACACGGGGCTCAATCAGGGGCTGAACCCTGAGATCAGACCTGAGCCGAAATCAAGAGTCAGATGCTCAACCCACTGAGCCACCCAGGCACCCTGATGAGGCATTTTAGGTGAAAGAGACAGAAACAATGGGAGAGGCAACATACAGAGTGATGTCCTTGGCAATGTATAGATTGAAGTCCTCAGAAAGAAAAAGTACACCAGTTCCTAAGTAGGAAAAATAAAGCGAAATAAAATACCTAGACACATCACAGTGAGACTTCAAAATACCAAAGACAAAGAGAATATCTGAAAAGACATCTAGAGAGAAAGGACATAACTAGGAACAACAATCAAACTGATAGCAGATTTCTTTTTGGCAACAATGGATACTCAAAGACAATGGGCTTTCATGGTCTCCCAGTGATAAGAGAAAGTATCTAGCTACCAAGAATTCAATGCCTAGCGAAATTCTCGGTCAAGAGAAAGGCAGAATATAGATTTCAAAGTGAATAAAGATTTCAAAGTAAATAAAGACACACGGAGTTTACCATCCACATGGTCTTATTGAACTAAAGGATACACTTTGGTAAGAAGGAAACTGAACCCAGAGGGGGAGACTGAGATGCAAGAAGCAACCGTGAAAGAAGACATTTTTAAATATGTTGGCCAAAGTAAAGGAATACGGACTGATTTTTTAAAAGGTGAATTTGGAGGGGCGCCTGGGTGGCTTAGTCAGTTGAGCGTCCGACTTTCGCTTAGGTCATGATCTCGCGGTTCGTGGGTTCGAGCCCCGTGTCGGGCTCTGTGCCGACTGCCAGCTCAGATCCTGGAGCCTATTTTGGAGTCTGTATATCCCTCTCTCTCTCTGACCCTCCCCTGCTCATGCTGTCTCTCTCTCTCTCCTAGAAATAAATAAAAAATATTAAAAAAATAAATAAATAAAAGGTGAATTTGGAGAGTTAGTTCCAGAGGATTTTGAAAAAAGAATGTGCAATAATAGGCAAATATTAAGAGTCCAGTAACATAAAAGACACAAAAAGGGGAATCAGAATTAAATGTTCTAAACTTATCAAGGTGCCTGGCTGGCTCAGGTGGGAGAGCACGCGGCTCTTGATTTCAGGGTTGTGAATTTGAGCCCCATGTTGGGGGTAGAGATTACTAAAACAAAGCAAAAGTTTAAATGTCTCCTATTGCTCAAAGGGATGATAAAGAAATCTACTGACTTCAGACTTGCTGAATTCTATGTTAAAAGAATAGAGATAGAATATATAACTTCCAAACTTGTATAGAAGAGAGGGAAATAAAACCTGATCTATCCAATATAAAGGAGAACAGAGCAAAGAAAAATCATGGCAAATAGAAACTATTAAGATGATAAAAATATTTCCAAATATTATAAAAATGAAAATGGATTAAAATTGCCTCCTCAAACACAAATTCTCAGATTGAATTTAAAAACAAAGCCAGCTATATGCTTTTCAAAAGGAGACAAATTCAGTGACTTCTGTCATGGCAGACTAAGCCAACTAGCCCCTCCTGCTGTAAACAGCTAGAAAAATGAATAAAATATATGAAAAATACTGTTTTCAGACATTGGACAGCTGGTCAGGAGACACAGAACACTGGACACAGGATGTGAGAGGAGGGAAGCTGATGACCGGCTCTATTTTCGTCTTCAATCTACCTGTACCAGGTGAAGGGGGAAGGGGACCCCAAGCAGAGCACAGTGGTCTCACAGGGATGAGGATAGAAGACTGGGAAACTGCAGGGGGACTGAGGCACCTAGAAGTGAGAGAGCGAGTGTGAAAATGGGAAATTCTGCCTCCCTGCCCCCCAACCTCACAAGATCAGAACAGATTCTTCAGATAAGGAAAGGAGTGGAACTGGGGATCTCAGAGAAAGGCAGGTCCTGTACTTTGGTGTGAGAAATCCAAATACTTTTGGGCGGTGTCTGAATGCAGAGGGAGCTTGGGCCCTCTTTCCTTGTTAGAGCTCAGGGAGACAGCAATGCCCCACAGCAGAAGCAGCCACGTGTCTTGGCTAATGGCCCTGAGAGGGCCACAGAGAGCTCCCTCACACCTTAAAATGACATAGAGCAGCAGAGTGAACCCAAAAAGGTCAAGGGTATCAGCTGAGAGAAAAACACACATACTCATGACTCTGAAAGTGAGCACCTCCTTAAATTTTGTGCTCTGCGTACCTTGCTTGCCTCGCCCTAGTTCCAGCTCTGCATGGAGAGAGGCCCTGGTAGATGAAATACCACATGGAGAGAGAGGCCAGTAAAGGAGCCCTGAGGTGCCTCCGCTGACCTTCCAGCTGAACGGGGTCATACAAGTGATCCTGCCTGGCGTTGTATGGAACAGAATTACCTACATAACCCACAAGGCCACGAGAAAGAATAAACCATTGTGTGTGAAGCCATGAACTTTGGAATGGCTTGTTATATAGCAATACATAACTAAGTCACTTTTGTTCACAAAATCCCCAAAACTCAGGTGAAACTCGAGGGAAGTGGGAGAGAAAGCCTAAATTGAGTATGTTTCTTCCCTTTGCTAGACTAGAGGCTTGTGCTATCCATTACATTTCAATTACAGAGATAAAAATTAATGTGACTTTTCCCTTATCCCTGAGTATATCTGAATTTGTATCTTCTGTATGGACTACATGAAAAGAAAACAATTCTAATAGTTCGTCACTCCTCACTGCTTCGGGAATGGTCATTCATCGACCACTCCCCAGCACCTCATTTTTCTCTGTGGCAAACTGCCCCTCCTCTATTCTGTGAGCACCTGGAGGTTCTTCTAGTCGAGGTGCCTGGCCCTTGTTTAGGGATGGACATGGGAACAACCCAGGCCAGCTAGACCTTCTCTCCCACAACCTGCTGGCATAAGAACTGGAAGCCACTGGGCCTGTGTTGTTCCAGTGCCCCAGGAGGGACCACCCAAGGGTTCCTATGATCAAGATTCCCTGACCTCCTTAGGCTCCTCTCCTGCCTGTCTTTTTTTTTTAATTTTTAATGTTTATTTATTTTTGGGAGACAGAGAAGCAGAGTAAGCAGAGGAGGGGCAGAGAGAGAGGGAGACACAGAATCTGAAGCAGGCTCCAGGCTCTGAGCTGTCAGCACAGAGCCCAATGTAGGGCTTGAACCCACAAAGCACAGGAAGTCAGACCCGGGCTGAAGTCAGACGCTTAACCAACTGAGCCACCCAGATGCCCCATCTCCTGCCCTGTCCTTTAAAACCTGCAAGCACCTTCCAAAACTCTGCCTTTCCCTTAACGTACCAGAAGTGGTTTCTACTGTCTGTCACCAAAGAGCCCTGGTTGCCTGCCCTGTTAGGGCAAGGACTCAGTGGTTCCTTTATATTTTTCAGCATGGAGGTCACATGGTTGGGCCATGTGTTGGCCTGAGTACCTGCAATTCTTGCCAAAAGAGTCACTTGAGCAAGGAGCACTGATTTATCTGAATGGAAGTCTGTCAACAACCCCTTGGAGGAAACTACACCTGCTGGTCCATCTATGAGTGGCTCTCTCGCTCTTTGTAATTCAGACGTCAGTCTAGCCTCTGTCTTCCCACTAAAGTCCCCAGTGGCGCCAAGTGCAGTGCCATATTCATCAGAGATTTCAACTATTTGTGGATTCATCTGACTGACTTAACTAGTGCAGAGAGCCTCTCCCGTGAGACTCCCACCACATGTCCACATGCATATAGCAGTCCCATTGGATACACATAGGACAGGGCAAACCACAAGAATGACAATAGGGCGCCAAGGCCCTGGGGCACTTAGTTGAGCACACAAGTGATGACTGGGAATGCCCTAGAACAACACTGTAGGAGCCAAACTCTCCAGGAAGGTGGGCCCAGTCACAGATGAGGCCTGGCCCCTGTCCAAGAAAGATGCCCTTTTGCCAGGCTGTCCATACCCCATACCCACGTGGGCCCATGGGAGTATGTCCCTGGGTGCCATGTGTTACCGTTTCTGTAGGACCGTGACAAACTCGGTGAGCCGGTCGCGTTCCACCTCAGCAGCCTGCCAGAGGGCCTTGAGCTCTGTCACTTGTGCCTGCCAGCCCTTTTGTTCTTGGGAGTCCGAGAACCTGGGGACCAGGGTGGGTGCAGAGGGCAAAAGTCATCGGAGGGGCTATCTGAAGACACACACTTACCTGTGATGGTGGGAGGGACTGTAAGAACATTCAGGGAACCTCAGAGACAGGTAGAGACAAGGAAGTCAACCCTGCCCTTCCTGGCGCTGCTGGTCTTCCTCCTCTGGCTTCTTCTCAGCCCACTGTTTTTTTACCTGCTGAAATCTCTACTTCACTTAGCTGGCTGCACAGCCAGACCCCACTAGGGCTAGGGCTGCATCAGTACCTCTGTCCATCCAGTCCCTGGAGGGGCCTGGAATTAGGCTGGCTGCTAAGGAATTTGGCCTTTGAGGGCCTGGGGTGCCCTGGGCACCTGCGTGGACAGGGGTCTGGCCATCATGCCCATTGCCGGGTGGGCCCAGTCTCTGTCTCGCTCTCAGTCTCTCCCAGCCCTCCCGCACCTCCTGCCTTAGCCTCAAGCCCAGCCCACTTTGTGACTTGATCAGTTTTCTTCAATGCTCATCTAGCCTGTCATTGCTCCTCTCCTTGCCGCTAGGCCTGCCTACCAGCCCCTTACCTGCTGGCTGGAGCCCAGACAGAAGGTGCACTCTGCCCCTCGTCCACCCCCCAAAGCCCACTTGTGAGTCCCAAGCTGCTCTCTGCTTTTCCCTCATCTTTCCCCCTGAGACACAGGTGACCCTGGGTTTGCTCTTCTAGCATCGCAGGACACATGGAGAGCTGGGCTGAGCCCAGAGGCTAACTTGTTCTGTGGTCTTGGGTTGGCCCTCTCTGGACCTGGGTCTGTCCTCTGAACGCTGAGGGGCTTGGCTGCAACGGGCCCTGAGGACTGCAGATTCCTCCATGCTCTGACTCCTAAATATACTTGAAGGCTTTGCTGCTCAAACTACATAGTTGCTGAACCAAGTGCCCGTGGATCCAGATCTGCCGAGTCAAGACCTGCGTGTAACCTGGCAGGTGCCCGGCTGGTCTGTGACACAGTGGTTCAGGAAGTTCTGAGCAAACCACCTCCACAATTTTCTCATGGGGTGGAGTGGGGGGGGATAATGGGAGCTGCAGGAGAAAGGGGACTGACCCCCTCACCCTTGCCCTTCTCCCAGATATGCCATCACAGTTACCACGCCAGCCCCGATAGACACCCTCCCTGTCACTGTCAGAAGAGGTCTGTGTGCTCCACGAGAGTAGGGCCTGCATTTGGTCGAGTTCAGTAGCTATTTGGGTAGCGTGCAAGCAATAAGTTTGAGAGCCAGAGGTCTGGACAGCTGGGGAGTATACCTGCTCCTGCTTCCCTGTGGAGTGCAAAGGTTACGGCCACACAGGCCTAGAAGGCTCATATCTTGTCCCTCTTCCTGTTCCCACTACTGTGACCAAAACCTCAGAGAGGCAGAGCCCGTCCATTCTCCCTGTGGCACCAGGAGGCTTCCCACATTTGGAAGTGTGGCACGTGCCCTTGTTGCTCAGAGCAGCCCACTCTCCCCCAAGTGCCCTTATGACCCCAGGCTGATGGGTGGGGCAGTTGCAGGGTTGGCCTTGGCCCATGGTCCCTGTGCTGCCACACATCAGGCCACAAGTGTCTCAGGAAACAGCATCTTGGAGAGGATCGATGCCCGGAGCCATAGCACAAGTCAGATGTGGACTAGGGCTGCTCAGAGGCCTGGGCTGGGACCTGAGCCGACCTGCCATGGTGGCAGGGAAGGGGGCTGATGGCAGGGGCAGGGCTCCAGTGGACAGTGGGCAGGGCTCAAGACAGGGCTCGGAGGCAGGACAAAGCTACCATTTGTCTGCAAGCTGGCAGGGAGAACAAAAGACCCATTTAAACCCAAGGCTTGATTCTAACAACAAAGAGCGGGCCAGAGAGCTGAGGGGATATCAATGACATAAAGTGGTAACCCATAAGACATGAAATTCTCCCCCTGGAGATCAAGTCTCAGTGGGGAAGAGAAGGCAAGGATAGGTACTAGGCTCCAGGCCCTGGAAGAGTCCTTGTGTTAACTCTGCGGTAGCAGGAAGGGACACCGGACTGCAAGCCAGAGGCCAAGGCTCCAGGTCTGAAGCCACTTGCTCTATCACCTTGGAGAAGGCACTGAGCCTCCCTGACCCTCCATGTCCTTACGTAAATTTGGAAAGAGTCCTTCAACTTGGCTTGGCCTCAGTTTCCCCTCCTGTTCATGGGATGGCAGAACTGGCTGAGCGATCAAGGGTGGGAAGGATTGTGGGGGTTCCATGATCCTGGGTTCATACCTGGTTGAGGGCCCATGAGGACTGGGCAGAGAAGGCCATGTGAGGGCAGATTCCACCAGCGTGTGGCCCAGGCTGGTCACGGAGCTGTGTGAAGGCAAAAGGGGCTCATCACCATGGGAAGGCCGGCTGGGCCCCACCAGGGAGGATAGCAGGGCCCGGCTGGGATCTGGGGAGCTGGAGGAAGTGGGCAGTGCTGGTCTTCACAGCAAGCCTGGTGGGGCAGTCCTGTGGACATGCTGCCCTTCTTCCCAGAGCTCTTGTTTGCTCAAAAAGAGACAGAACCAGGAGACATCAGAACCTTGAGCAATCCAACGCAGGTCTATTTGAGAATCCTAGAATCAGGTGCGTTTCAAGGCCACCTCTGAGAGGATATTACAGGAAGCTGCAACCAGACGCTCTTGTGGGAATAATTCCTGGGCCTAATGTCTCCTTCGTGCAGACGCAGGGCTAATGGAATAGGAGAGGCCCGCACATTGGAAGGACAACGAATGGCACAGTCGTCTGAAAATTGCACCCGTGGCTTCCCAGCAGAGGAAGCCGTTTCTCTGAATAAATAATATTCACTTATCAATCCCTCTATCCCACTTTTTTCTTACCGAGAAGATCCAAGCCTGCCAACGTGATCGCCTGCTGAGGCAGGGGCCTGGGTCTGGCCTGGGTCCTCCAGGAACTTAGTGTAGGTGGGGTTGACCTCAGGCCCACTGGACCCCTCGCCCACTCCTTTATTCCGAAGATACTGCAGGGAACAGACATGAGTTCGACTCTCAGCACTTTGGCTCAGAAGCCTGGAGAAGGCAGGAGGGGGCCCTGGCTTGAGTTCTGGCCTTTTAGGGGATATGAAAGAGGCTTCTTTTCAGGAGTGAAAAGCGAAGCTGTTTGGTGAAGGCACTTCTTGCATGATAATGACATCTAATAATGCCTCTCTTCAGAAAGAGAGCTACATGGAGTGAGGTGGTGACTGGGCCAGGAAGCTGTTCTACATTCAGGTCCCAAAGGGAAGTGCTTGGCCTTTGATTCAGGCCAGATCGGAGGCTGACGTCTTTGAGTGGGCCCACCTCTCTGGGCAGCCCCACCCACACAGGGTGAATGCCAGGTGTGACTTGAGGCTGGCTGCCTTTGTCAGCTGGAGACACTTGGACTTCCCAGACACCTGGAGCCACAGAGGGTGTGGCAGGGCCACAGCGAGGACCAGAAGTCTTGGAGGGAGGCTGGGCTTCCCAGGCCCCCTTCCCTCCTGCCACCTCCTAAATCGGGTTAGCTGGTGAGGCCAGATGGAAGGAGGAGCACTGGAGGAACCCCAGCAGGAGGTCAGGCCATCAGGGATGGACAGTTGGTGTGAGTCCCAGACAACCTAGCATGTCCTCCAGCCCTACCCATCCTGAGACATAGGCACCAGCTTCTCTCGTGGCCCCCATTTAGGCTGACGACCTTTGGGGTAAGAATTGGTTCTCTGTTGTGTGCCTGGAGCCAGGACAGTGGTGAAGTGAAAGTTCTGGAATGTTCCCGTGTGCTCCTTGAGATTACACTTCCCAATGGGAAGCAAGGTGAGGACTGAAAGGCAATGCCCCCACTCATGGCCACACATACACCGTCCCTAGGCCTTTGTCAACCCTGGGCTCCCTTTCTTCAGCCTCGTGGCTACAACATTTTCTACCATAGCCACTTCTGAGGTCCCAGGCCACCCTGGCTTCTGGGGACAGATGGCTGCGAGACAAACCACCAACCCCAGGTAACACCGCACTGAGGCTGGGGCTGAGGGCCTCCTGGGCTCCCACACTTTTGACTGGACCTGGATCCCTGGGAACAAAGGGCAAGGCTGCTCTGTGACATGCCTTTGGCTGTCCCAGTCAACCTGGCTGTGAGGTCTCTCTGTCACTGGGAGACTTGTCTGCCTGTCATGAAATCCTTCCCCCTCAGAGGCCACCAGTTCCCCTCCCCTCTGAGCACCAGCACCACTACCATAGGAAGGAGCCACAGAGAGTCCATGGTTCCACGGTGCCTGACCCCAGCAGCCCTGGCTGTGCCAACAAGGCACCTGCCAAGGAGCCCCCTTGTTAGACAAGCATTAAGCACTTATGAGCAGCCTGGGGGCTCAGTCTTGTACCAGGCAAGGGGGTACCATGGTGTGCACCCCCTCAGTAGGAGTTTAGGGGGGAAACAGGAAGATGATCACAGAGGGTGACAAAAGTTTGGCTTGGGGGTGCCAGGGTAGTTAGGAGAGTGCCCAGGAAGGGCATGTAACACAGAATTCAAGCCTTGGGGCTCCCTGGAGAAGCTCATGACTAGGTAAGGCCTGAGGCTGGGGACCATCGACCAGGAAGTGGCAGTGGGGGAGGAAAGGGAAGGCACATGTTTCAGGCATGTGCACAAGCCTGGCATGGGGACAAAGCAGGGCCACGTAAGGAGCTAAATGGTGGCCTCATGGCCAGATGTAGGGGAAAGGGAGGGGTGAAAAGAAGATGCAGGAGGGGTGGTAGCAATAGCTCCTCACAAGTTGGACAGAGTGTGGCTTCCTTTCTGCCCTCCTGCTACCTAGAATGGGAATGTAAAGGCTGGCACTGTAGCCACCATCTGGAATCATGAGGGTGAGGGCCACAGGTGGGGAGGGAGATGGGGAGTTGGAAGGAGCCTGGACCTTTGAGGATTGAGTGAGGCCAAGGGGGATGGCGGAGCCCCAGACAGGTTTTAGGCAGAGAAGGGGGACGGTCAGAGAAAAGAGAGGAAGGGCATGTGAGATTGGGAGGGAAGCCAGGGAAGCAGAGGGCCGAAGTGGGGCTGGGTAGGGCAGGGTGCAATCTGAATAAGGCAGGTGGGAAGAGGAAGTTGCTGAGATTTCTCTGGATGGTGGATGGACTTGCCAGGGCTTGGAATTGGACGTCGGACCGAATCAGGCCAGTGCACCGCTCACCTGCACACCAAGTTGGCCGATCTCTACCTCCAGCTGCTGCACCTTGGCCTCCCTCTCGGCCACCATGGCCCGCAGCTGGGCAATGAGGCTGCTGGTCTGCTGAGCCTCACTGTTGACCTGCTGGTCCTGGCGGATCTGGGACACCCGTGTCTTTTCTTCCTGCTGACTCAGGCTGCCCAGGATCTCCTGTAGCTGCTTCAGCTGGTCCTGGGGGGCCGAGCAGGAGGCAAGATGACAGACAGTGTTAGCTGTGACCCCTGGGCAAGGCAGGATGGGGAAGACCGCCTCCCCTCACCCATTCCCTGCTCCTGCAGGAACCTGATAGTGGGACACTCCCTGTTCCCTTGGGAAGCTGAGAAGGCACCTTCCTTGCCTGCCTCAGGGGGGCTCAACCAGGCAGGTAGGAGCCATGGACAACTTCTTTCTCTGAAATTGAGCCAAGGACATCCAATGGGCTCTCAGGACAATAGAAAGCAGCTCAGATGGTGGCTCCTCAGCCAGTGTGGGAGATATTTGGGTAAAAAAAGACCCTATCCCCTCGCTGGGAGATGGCCTTGAAGGCAGTACCTGCAGCCCTCACCAAGGATCCCTCGGCACCTGACCAGGGCACTGGCTCCTGCAGATGCTCCCAGGAGACTACTGGGGTGGGGGCTTTACCCGCAGGCCATCAGAAAGGACAGGGCAGTGATTTGGAACGGGTTGTCCCCAACTCATAGTGGAGGAAACTGAGGCCCAGAGAGCCCAAGGGCACCCTGCCCTGGCAGGGCGGGGGCTTGTCTGTAGCTTTCCTCATGCCATCTGTAGTAACATGTGGTGGCACACGGGGACCTCAGGGGACATCCAGCCCTACATCTGTTATTTAAAAACTAGGAGCTGAGGCTCAGAGAGGAGGTGCAATTGACCCAGGGTCACACAATGAAGTTTCTGCAGATGTGGGCCTAGAGCTCAGGTCTCCTGTGCTCCACCTACCACCCTGCCTGGTGAAGTTATTATGGATGAGGGTGGGGCCCAAGCAGCACCTGTGTCCCCATGCACCCTGGTCAAGCCAGGCACGACTGCCTCAAGGGCCTGGAGTACAGCTTGGGAGTCAGGGGCTAAAACCCCAGAGCACTTCAGGTCCAAGAGAGAAAAGACCAGGTTAAAGTCAGGAAAGCAGTGCAGCCTTGCTAATCAAGGAAGGCTTTATGGTCAGATAATCCTGGTTTGAACTCAGTTGTATGGTCTTGGACGACTTTGCTAATTGGAATCTTAGTTTGCCCATGTGTGAGATGGGATTATAATGTATGGCCCTAGGGGTTGTCTTGGAGACTAACCATTATGAACCAAAGGTGCCCCAGGTGCCCAGAAGGGGAGGGGCTCTTTGCTGTCACATGGACAAGAGTGTACTGGACCCCTGTTCAGTTGTCCCTTCCATTCCTTGATGAGAAAATAACCAGGGTGTAATCCCTTCTTCCTCCTTATCCAGGTCTTCCTTCCTTGGGCTCCACAGCTTCAGTGGCTGGTGGCTGGTGCTGGCTCGGACATGTCACAGCCTGCACCAACAGGATGCAATACAACGTGTCCACACGCTCAGGTAGCCTCTGAGCTGCTCCTGTCCCAGGGGCATCACTTTGGGGCAGGGGCCCATGGAGAGATGATAGGCTTCTGGGTTACGCGGGTGGCATTTTGGGGCAAGTGAGGGCTCACTCTGGCTAGGGCTGGGTCACGGGCTTCTGGGTAGGGTAGGGGCCATGTTTAAGGGATTTGGCCTGGCTCTGGTGGGGCCTGAGAGGCTGGGCCATACCATGAGGGCGTCGATGAGCTCATCATCATGCCTGCCCTTCTCCACCAGTGTTCCCATCTGATTCCTCAAGGTCTTCACTTCACTTGACAGCACCTTGTTCCTGGACTTCACGCCCTCAAACTTTCTTTTCAGTTCTTCAAGCTCTCTCTGGAGGCCATCCCGCTCGCCCACAAGTTTCTGTAATAAGGAAGTACAGTCATGGGCAGTGGGGCTGAATGGGACCTCGGCCACATCTGGTCCCTGCTCACAGGTGAAGCCCAGAGCCGGTACCCTGACTCCCAGCCCTCGCCTCTCGGGGGTGTCAGGTGGGCCCACAGCCTCCTGTCCTTGCCCTGGAGCATGACAGATGTCACTAAAGAGGACAGCACTCCTCCATCAGCCCGAGAGTGCAGGCATCCAGGCAGCTGCCTTGCCCTGCCAGGGTCAGACAGGAGAGGATATGCACTTGGCAGTTCTGGGTGTATCTTCCAGAGAGCGCGGTTGTCCCCACCTCTCAATCCCTGCTTGAGCTGAGGAAAGAGAAAGACCATGCTTTAGTGAACAGCACCAAGTCCAGGGTTCAAACTGAAGTGGCTTGCCCCCCCAGGAGCTGGAATGAGAGTAGGCTGCACCGCTCCATGCGTGTCCCCATCAGCACTGACTGTGCCCTGCTCATGTCAGCTACAAACTGGCCATTCTGGTGCTGCACATGCCTTTGGAGTCTCCCCAACCTGTCCCTCCCCTCCCTTCTCCTTCTTTCTCAAATACTTCCTGTGGGCTTACTATGTACTTAACGTTATTGTAGGTGCTGGGGATACAACAGAGAAGAAAAGTTTTTGTCCCCAAGGGGCTAACATCCTAGCTGGAGAGACAGATGTCAAATGATGACAAGTGCTTATTGAAAAGTAGAGAGGGGAATGAGGTGGGAGTTGGGGGAGATAATGGCATGTTCCAGGAAGGCTTCTCTGAAGAGGTGACATCAGAGCAGAGACTAAAGGAGGTGAGGGTAGGAGAAAAGGCCCCGGGGTAGAACATGTGTGGCTAGAGCACAGCGAGCCAGGGGGCAGAGTCCAGATTAGATAAACCATCAGGAGCCAAGATTGAGACACTGAGGAGGGTTTGTGACAATGGGTGACATAAGCTGCTTTGGTCTTGAGGGTTAATTATCACTGGAAAAGTGTTTTCAGATCCCCGTGGACGTGATTTGTAGAAATGACAGATAGTAGAAGATGGTGGATCTAGAAGGCCTCCGATCTTTGCAGGGAGGCAGCCACTGTCCCTCTGTTGCTCTGCTGCCTCACCTCTAGTGGGCATCTGGCAGGGGAAGTGCACACAAGGAATACTTTCCTTCTACCGTATTGCAGCTCATGGTTCAATGACTACAACATACTCTGTTCTGTGTGAATGAGTAAGTCGGAGCCAGGTGCACCTGCAGCCCAACATTTTCAAGTGTCAGCCCCCGACTTCCCTTGGATCTTCTCCCTGTCTCCCCTACGCATCTAGGACACTCTCTGGAAGTCCTTCGCAACCCTTCCGCTCCTCCCCCTCCCATCTCATCATCGAGCCTTGCAAAGTCGACCCTCAAATGTTGCAGGTGTCTGGCCTTGGGCTATAGTCCTATAGTCGTGTCCTTAGTCGTGTCTCAGGTGGATTATCGCCTCTGCCTCCCATGCCTCCTCCAACCTGGCTGCCTATACCTGACCATGTGACCTTTCCCAAATGCACAGCATTCCGCATCCCTCCAAAACTTAAAACCCTTCAGTGGTTTTCCACCTCCTTCAAGATAAAAGCCTAAACCCCTGGCCGGCACACAAGGTCCACAAGGACCTGGCCCTGCCTGCTTCTCAAGTCCCATGTTCCCTCCTCACATCTGATGGTCTAGGATGTTGGGGGTGCAGCCTATCCCAGAGTGGGCACTCACAAATGCAGTCCCCTGATTACGAGATAAGGCCTCACTGTTAAGAAGCCCCTCTCCAGGGCCGGTGAAGTGGGCCTGCCCAGCCTCCCAGCACCCTGGCCTGCTTCTCCCTCCACCATCTGTGAGAAAGCCCTGCTTGCCACTTTCAAGCCAACCCTTGAGAGGCTGAGTCATCTCTCAGACCTAGGGGTGGGGATCTATCTGAAGCCCGGCCAGTCAAAGCATCCTGCACCATAATGGCAGTGACTGGCTCGGGGATGGGGAGATAGCTTAAGCTAGCCGGGTGGTATTTAATTCTGGGGCTTCATTGGAACTACTGGGAAGGAGAAGGCCTTTGTTTGTGGGGGCTGGGCTGGAAGACAGAAGCTGTGATCACCAGGCATCCCCACAGGAGAGATGAAGCCTGTCTGGAAAAAGTGGCTAAGACTAAGCCCCCAGATCCCTGGACCCCTCTGTGCCTCTAGACCACCTCTAGCCTGTTCACCTTTGTGGGCCAGAACATTTTTTGTCACACAAGACAACTTGGCTTCTGCCACTCCCAGCACAGCCAGTGGGAGGCAGTGTGCGGTGCCGGTGCCAGCTTGCCCTCCTCCCTGCAGCTTGGAGCGCTCCTCCACCGAACCCTACCTGACCCTGTCACTGGGTCGTCACTCTGGGCTATGACATCTTCCTCTCCTTTTACAGTGACAATTTCAGCTCCAATATCTCCAGAACAGCCAGGGTGGGGCCACCTAAAGCTCATGACACAGGCTGAGGGTGAGGACTCCGTCAAGCAGTTCAAGCTGGACTTACAGGATTTGAGGAATAGGCACTAACTTGACCTTAAACCCTAGGTGTCCCCTGCCTATAAGAGGTGTCTCAGAGCTCATGAGCACATGGGCCTCAGAGCCCTGCAGAGGTGGTCATGACCTCCCGGCCCCACACCCCTGACTAACCCCTTCCCTGGCCATGTGTTACCTCCCAGCCCTCCTGGTTTCCCCTTTCCAGGCTGCGAATCCTCAGCAGGTTTTTCTCCTGGGCAGACAGCTTCCTTGGGTCTGGATGGATAGACGGCTCATAACTGGACGCTCCTGCAGACTGGCTCCGGGTCTGTCCCAGCTGCTTCTCAAGCTCACGAACCTGAGAGTGGTAAACTTGTCAGGGGCTGCCCCGAGGTGCAACAGGAAACCCCACTGGACCAATGGACACAGAAGCCCCATATGAAGGGTACAGAGGTAGGGGGAGGAATCAGGCAGCATCTTGAGCAAAATAGGGGAGGACACGAGGGGGTTTCGTTTGAGAAGGAGAAAAATCACCCCATCCCTTTAGGGGCTATTTGAGACCAAGAAGCAGCTGTGTGGCTCCAGGAACCTGGGAAGGAGAGGAGGGATGATCTCAGTACAAGAAAGAACTCTCTAACAGACAGGTCACCCAAGACTTGGGAGGCCGTGGGTTGCTGGCTATTTGCAGGAGGTGCTGCAGATGGAGGACAGGGTTTAAGAGCTGAGAGACCAGCTCAAATCCTCACTCACTGTGACTTCGCACAGCTTATGTAGCTTCTCTGAATGTCGGGTCTCTCATCTATGAAATGAGCCTAAGAGTACACCCTGTATAGAGTTATAAGGATTCAGTATCCTGAACTTGTCTGAGCCTGGGAATGCCAAGATGCTTCTTAGAATGACAAATCTCAGGGCCCACTCCGGATTGACAAGTCAGAACTCCAGGGGAAGGACCTGGGGACCTGAATTTTAAATGAGTGGTAGGGTGATTTTTGGGATTAGGTAACTCTGAGAAACCCCAAGGTGGCCCAGGTGGAGTCCTCAGTACATGGTCCAGCACTCACAGGCTCTTGGCCAGTGGCAGGTGGATATCACCCCACAGAATGACGGCTTTGTTGCATTGGGGTTGAAGTGAATAATGCCTAGGGTCCTTCTAACTCTGGTTTCCATGTTGACACATAAATGATGGAACACAGGTGGGTAAACCTATGCGGGGGCAAAATTTGCTAGGATCCACAGCATGGTTTTGAAAGCACATATCAGTGCCCTCATGTGGCATTGTGTGGTAATTCCAGTTAAGCATTAGAGAACACAGTATGAAACTTTTAATCATTTATTTATACAGCTTAACAACGGTAACAGCAAACGTGCTGAGTGCTCATGATGGCCAGGCACTGTGCGGGGTGCTTTACAAATGTTATTTCATTTCATTTAATTCATAACACCCTGCGTTTTGCAGATGAGGAGACAGAGGCACAGAGCGACAAAGTGATTTATCCAAGGTCACTGAACCTATAGACCAGCAACTGAGGGCAGATCAAACTGGAGTCTTTTGAATCCCAAGGCCACACATTGGTCGTTAATTACAGTTTTTTTTGGAGATTTTCCCTACCTTTGTATTGGCTTCAAGGATCCCACAGAGACCCTGAGGACAAAAGCCACCCAGGAACTGTGAACTTGAAAGTCATGTGCTTGTCAAATAGTGAAGTTACACACCTACTCATGTGTTTCTTGGTGTGAAGGCGAAAAAAAAAAAGCCACAGCTAACCTTTGTACATTGTCTCCTCCACGCGCCCGGCACTGTGTTGGTCACTTTACATACAGAGACTCATTCAGTCCTCCCAACAAGCCTGTGGGGTAGGTCTTATCATTATCCACAGGATACAGATGAGGAAACTGAGGCACAAAGAATGAACTTGCCCAAGGCCATATAGCTCGTGAGTCGAGAGCTGGGATTTGAATCCCAGCCAGTCTGGCTCTGGAGCCCCAGCTCTTAGCCTCGAGAGATGCTCCAAAATATTTAGAACGTAACGAGCGGGACAAGGCTAGGTCTTTATTGGGTAACTGAAACTTTCAAAAGTCTATAAGCATCTGGAACAAAGCTGGAAAAAGCCTGCAAGGATAACAGTCATGCAAATTTGCATGAACTAGGGAAGAAAATATGCCTGGGGTAAAATAAATCAAAGGTTTTGGCATCTGTTAAGCGCCAGTGCCTGGCACATGGTAAGTGTTATATAAATGCCTGTTCGTTAAATAACAAATTAAAATCAGGCTGGTGGGGGAGAATGTAAGACAACACAGCCCTACAAGCATGTTCTGCAGTGCCTCAAGGCCTTTTTATGGTTCTCTGTCTCTAGTGTGGATCGGTGCCAGCCTTTCCAGGGCATCTGAGCCCTCTGTTCAGGGCCAGATGAAGCGCACTCACCTTGCTTTGCAAAACGAGAATTTGTTGAGCCCGACCCCTCCAGGTCCCTGGAGAGGACAGGAGCTGCTGGACATTCACATCTTCCCCAACCTCACTGGTTAAAACCTGAAAAAGGCGTTCGAGTGAGGCCAGGAGAGAGGGCCCTGCCAGAGAGCCCCTAATGCTGCTGCCCCCTAAGGAGCAGTGCAGGGTGCACAGGGCTCCCAGAGGCTCCCCGCCCCCAACATTCCTCCTGCCTTGAGGGCCAGCTGGCCATGCTCTCAGAGCTGCTGTCCCTGGGAGAGCAGAAATCCCAGCACCCCCAGCATTTCCTAGTGACCCTTACAGTAGACGGGGGACTGCCAACAATGCCGAAAGGGGCCCCTCTCTGCTCTTGACATATTCTGGGTCAACTTGACAAAGCTGACCCAAATGTGTTTCCTCAATTTGTTCACCTATCACTGAGAACGGAGATCATTCTGGATGGCTACAGGAAGTACGTGGCCACAGGGCCTTGACCTCTGTAAGAAGCCACCACCGAGGGGCCGTGTCTGAGTGCAGCAAGGAGTAGGGCTACTGAACATCAGTTGGGGGTGTTTGGTTCCAGAAGGGCCCAACATTATGGCTGTTGAACAGTGGCCTGCAGGCCCTACCTCAAGGCTTTGAGGTGGACAGAAAAAACTCCAGCTGGTGCCTGGGGCCTCTCTGAAGCCTGTCACGGGAACCCAATCTAGTGCGCCTGGTCTCCGGCGCTCGTTTCCACAATAGAACACTGTTTTGGAAATCTTGGCTAGTCTGAGTGGTTCCAGCAGAGAAGACAAATGCCAGAGAATTCACTATGTAAATAAAAATAAATAATGAACCAACTGGGCCTGCATCCCAAGTCTGAGTATTTTCCTTTGAAAGGGGCCTTTAATACACAAACAACCTATTCATTTTCTAATATTACAGACAGCAGAGGGCAGGAGGCAAGTCTTGGCAGGCTCCCAAGTCCAAGGTGGCTTATAAAGGAGACACCCGGGATCTACGAGGGTGCACGTAGCACAAGAACAGTCTGCAGGACTTTCCCTGAGTAGGAGGCACTATCCTTCTCTGTCCAGGGCAGGGAGGGCCCCATGAGGGCTCCATGAGGGCCCCTCAGACAGCCAGCAACCCCACTCACCAATGGTCTATATCAAGGACTGACAGAAGGAAGTTACTGGATCTGGAACCTGACCCAGAGCAAGCAGCATAATGCTCACGGGGCCAAGCACTTGCTGCTTCTTGAGTGGAATCCATTGTCCTGGCCATGCTTTTCCCACTCCCAGCCATACAAGAAGACCTGACTGCTGGCTCTGAAATACCTTCTGGGCCATCCGGAGTTCCTGCTTCACGGACTGGATCTGGTTGCGGAGTTCACTCATCTTCAGGTTTGTGGCTGCCAGCCTCTCCTGCAAGACCTTCACCTCTGGGGTCTCTGGCTAAGGACAGAGCAGAGAGCCATCACTTGTTGCCGAAAACAGTAATAATAATCATAGCCTCCATTCAGCCAGGAGTGTGCCAGGCACCGTGCTAGGCACTCAACATGTAGAGACTCATGCAATCCCCATGCACCCTGTGAGGTAGCTTCTACTGTCGGCCCCTTACAGAGGCAGAACAGAGGCTGGTGGAGTGGCTGGGGAGACCCGATTGGGAAAGGTGGAGCATGGATGTGAATCCTAGTAGCCCAACTCTGGGAGCCAAGCCCTTTGCTCAGAGTACTACACATCCATGGACACAGGCAGCATCCACAGAAGGGGGAGCCCCTGGAGGGAACCCCTGGAGGAAGCCTGCAGGCCGCACACCTCCCAGAGACTCCCTGGGTGTGGGCCCTCTCTGTTGTCAGTCCAGAGACTGACATTGCAGCTAAACTATCTCCACTCAGAATAAAGAGGGGACTAGTTCAGGCACAGAAGGCAACTCCAACTTGGCAGGGGGACTGTGACCATCCTAACTTGGGGCCTCCTTCCCCTGGAACCATCAGCTTGGGCCTTGGGCTCCCTTTCCTGGCAATGAGCTCACTAAACAGAAATAAAAACCAAGTTTAATCCTCAAATGCTCCATTTCTGTGGCTTGCAGAACTCCAGCAACCGTGAAAACCGCCTGCTAGAACTCTTAGCAATGTCTTTTATTTATTTTTAAAAATAATGTTTGATTTAAACCACTTGGATGTAAATTTTTCTCAAATGTGCTGTCCAGGGGTGCCTGGATGGCTTAGTCAGTTGAGCGCCAACTTTGGCCCAGGTCATGATCTCATGGTTCATGGGTTTGGGCCCTGTGTCGGGCTCTATGCTGACAGCTCAGAGTCTGGAGCCCGCTTCAGATTCTGTGTCTCCCTCTCTCTCTTGGCCTCCCCGGCTTGCACTGTTTTTCTCTCTCTCTCTTAAAAATAAATAAAGATTAAAAAAAGTTATAAAAAATGTGCTACCCAGGGGCGCCTGGGTGGCTTAGTCGGTTAAGCGTCCGACTTTCACTTGGGTCATGATCTTGCGGTTCGTGGGTTCGAGCCCCGCATCGGGCTCTGTGCTGACTGCCAGCTCAGAGCCTGGAGCCTGTTTCAGTCTGTGACTCCCTCTCTCTCTGACCCTCCCCTGCTCACGCTGTCTCTCTCTCTCTCCTAGAAATAAATAAAACATTAAAAAAAAAATGTGCTACCCATTTCTCTTTTTCAGTATAAGTTTCTGAGTTTCACAAAAGTATGGCATTAAAGGGATTCATTCCATGGTCAGCCCATCCAAAACCCTTCCATAAGTAGTGAAAAGGAGGCCCAGAGAAGAGGAGTAACTTGCCCAAGGGCACACAGCTGGTTGGGGATGACACAAGTCAGATTAGATAAAGCCTAGTCCCTCCCCTGCACTAGCTGATTCTCCCACTTGAAGCTGTTTCTGGCACCCAGGCATCATGAGTGGGCTGAGTGTCCCATTGGGCGATGATGCCAAGACCGTCTGCTCTTGCCCCAACAGACCGGGTGGGCTGGACTTCTGGGAAGCAGGGCAGGGGGCTGCAGTGGACTTCTGATCTTTCCTCAGCAGGCACACACAAAATCTCCTGTGAACACTGGTGTGGAAGGCAGATCCATGTAGATTTGGTCTGGGACCCCAGAGGTTCTGGACAGCCCAGGTGAAAACCACTGGTGAAGGAAACAGGAACTGGACACAGCCCAAGAAGTCTGGCCTTATCTGGTCTCCGCATTTGTGGAATGGGTATAAAATACTTCCCTGTCTTGCTTCTTCGCAGCGCCACCATGAGGTTGAACAGAATATAAACCAGGAACTTAGAGAAAACACAACGTAGCTTTAAAAAAATCGCGCGCGTGCGCGCGTGTGTGTGTGTGTCCTTCCCTGTCTGGCTGCTTGCCATTCCTTCTCACTGCTGTTGGATGCCTGTCTTCTCCCTGCTCGTGTGCTGTGTTACATCTGCCCCAGGCTGGGAAGTGACACCCCCTGCCTGTCAGGTCTTGGGCACCATGACCCTCACTGGCCCTGGTGGTGGTGCAGGAGCTGTATTTATGAGTGTCTCACATGATGGCTGTGACCCTGCTTAGAACATGGAACCCAGGCGATGACAGGCCCCCCTCCCCGAGCCTGATTTCCTCATCTGTAAAGTAGGGGTATACACCACCAGCTTCTGGGGTGCCTATGGGTGTTGATAGGATAATGCATGTAAAGGATGCTGTCTGGGGCAAATTCTGACAGAGGGCAGCGTGGGGGCTGAGGGCCTAGCCTGACTTGAGGAGGCAGTTGGCAAAGGGGGCTGAGGGCTAGAGAGTGTCCTAGTGAGGCCTCGGCCCACATGCATAACAGCCTTCACCCCTCTGCTCTGCCAAGCCCCAGTCCTCTCCTCCTGGACAGCTGGGGCAACCCCCCCTCCCTCGCCATTTTAGAGCTACTTCAGCCCAGAGTGAAATTCCACAGGCTTTGTGGGGGGCTTGAATATGAGTGTAAGCCTCCCCTTCCCTGGGCTATTTTCTTTGAGGGAATGACTGAAATGCAGTCCAAGGGGAGCAGACAAAGCCAGCGCTGCTCATAGCACGGCATCTGGAAGCCCCATGCTGACCATGCCAAGTGGGGACCAGGCGTTCAGCCCCACTCTGGAATGTGCTTTGGCACACGGGGGCCAGAACGTGGAGTGAACATGCGGGCGTCCGGAGTGTGGTTTGGTCTTAGGCTACCCCACACAGTCCAGTGGCGGGGGGTGGGGTGTTGCTTTTGTTGTCTCTCAGATCAGAAGGTGCCCTGGAAACCACAGGGCTACTGCAGAGCTGAGGCTCACGGCCTGTCACCCACTCTTGCCTCAGAAGCCTATCAGGATCACTGCGGCCCTGGCCACGGAGCAAAGCTGAAATTCCTGCTCCGGCTGCCAGTCAAGGCCTGTCTCCGTGGGTGACCCCACCCGAGCCTTGTTTGCTGACATTTCCCTTTCCCCTCACTGGCCTTGGGCTGCAGCCAGACCAACACCTAGCTAGCAAACAGAACAGGTTCCCCGCCTCTCAGCCCCAGCTTGCGCTGCTCCTGCTGGAAAGCCTTGCCCCATCCTGCTTCTCCAGCAAGGCACACCTCAGGAACCTTCCTCCAGCCTCCGTCCTGGTTGCCTGGTGTGGAGGGTGTTCCCCCTCTGTGAGCCCCTGGGACCCTTTCTGAAGGCCCTGCTCCCCTCCTTCCTTCAGTATGGCCACTCATCTCCCCTCTTGGGCTTCCGTGTGGACAGGGGCATTATCTGTGATTCCTGTGTCACAGGGCTCAACAAGTGACCGAACAAACAGTCCTCCATCAATGGCAGACTAGCCAGGGACGTGGACATGCTCAGTGCTCGGGACAAAGCAGGAGTACTGAGCAGTGCCCATCGGAGCCAGGAAAGGCCCCTACAGAACAGCCCCTGCTGATGGCACAGCCCTCCCCACCAATGAGACAGGTGGGGAGACTTGTCTTTTTATACAAGACTATTTTCTTTATACAAGACTAGCCTTCATTCCACTAGGTTCTCCTCCTGAAACCTAGGGGCCTATCGCTAGACACTGAGGGCTGAATTCTCCTCAGGAAAGGCATGAGGTGGCTTGACCCTGCATTGTAGGCGAAAGGGAAGTGGGACTAGAAAAGGAACACTGAACAGGGAGTTCTAAGGCTTGGCTCCCCCTATCTCCAACGGGTCTGGCTTCCCAAGAAAACCCCCTGGGGAGGCCTCCTGGGTTGTTCTTGAGTCTCTGATGCTATTTATTATCTGGCTCAGACTCCATGTCCCTCTCTGTTAGCCCACAGAGTCAGATTGCCTTCCTTTTGTGGGCCTGCAATTTCCATTTCTTGGGTTTCATACCCCCTACACAGTGGCTGAGTAAAATGGAATCTGGGGAACAAGCTGCCATTCTCAATAGTCACTTGTACTTTGTAGATTTGGAGCTCCACAAAGGGAAGACTTCTCACAATGTGAAATGTAACCCCCTCCCAAACAGGGCTCTATTGGACAGTAGTGAGCTCCCTGTCCCTGGGGTAAGATAGAGGCTGGATGTCTCCCCAGGGCCCAGTGAGGAAGCTGTAGAGGACAAAACAGGGCTGGGAGTAGGAGGCCAGTTAGACCTTGCTGGTCCCCAAATTTTAGGGTTCCAGGGTCCTCAGGCCCCTCCGGTTCTCTCTCTCTAGGGACTAAATCAGAGTTAGACCTTCACTGGCCTCCACTGGGGTGTTCCTGGCCTCAGGCCACGGACATGCCTCCCTGATGGCTGCTCTGAGGATGCCACCTTGGTCGGCACTGGCTCAGCAATGGGGAGGAGGCAGACCCTGGACAAAGGCGCCTACAGTCACATAGAAGACAGGAGACCCAGGCCCATGGCTGCCTCACAGACTCCCCAGCACAGAAGAGAATTCATACCAAGGCTCTGTCTCCTATCTGAGCCCTCGGTGTCTTGGTTCCCGCGTCGGTGGCCACCTTGGCTGGTAGCCTGGCCTGGGCCGCCTGTAGCTGAAAAGCAAACCTCGCACTTAGTATTGGATTCTGCTTGGAACTGTGGTGCCAGGGTGCAGTGCCCCCATCCTGCCCCTGGGTGTGTGGTTACTGATATCACCGGTTCACCTTTTAGTTCACTTTAGGACCATTAATGGAGGAACCCTCCCTACAGACTGCTTTGTGATGGGAGAGGGTTTCATCGATTGTCTGCCCCACTGCCCAGCCACACACCAGAGTAGCACCGGGGTTCACTAACAGCTTCATACATAATAATACTGCAGCCATGGTCCATATCCCAGAGCTCTGAGCACAGTCTGGGAGGTGTAGCATAAAGGGACTATGGACTTCATGTGCTCGACTAGGAGACAGGGTCAGAGACACAAAGAAACCTGCCACACTGGCTCATGGCCTGTAGCCAAGCCCAGCACTGCATACAGACAGCCAACTGACCCTTTAATGCTTTCCCAGTTGTTCACACGAACACCAGACTGTGCCTGACAAGGCAGGGTGTGGCCTGCCCTCCCTCTCTGACCTCATCTTGCTCCACTCTTGGCCTCAAGGGTTTCCTCCAAGACTTTCTTCCCCATTCAGAGCCATGGGATCTGCTGGGCCCTCTGCATGGGGGCCCACTCCACACTTTACCAGTGTGGCCCCTTCCCACCCTCCACAGACCTACAGTATGCACCCACTCCTCTATGAAGCCCTCAGTGCTGGGTCTGTCTCCAAGGAGGCAAGGCTCATGTCTATTTTGCTCAGAGCCTGAGATGGCTCTCAAACAATTTGTTGTAGAATAAAGACAATCTCGTTCAATGCCCAACATGACAACTGAGGAGAATTTTGGGGGGCAACAGAATTGGATCTGCAATGTAGCACTATCACGTGCTGTACAACTTGAGAAAGCCCCCTAACCTCTTCAAGCTCCAGTTTCTTCAGCCACAGACGGAAGCTACATAGGTTTTCTCTAGCACACGGATTCCATTCTAGCTCCTAAGAGACCATGAACTGCTTGTACTGTGTCCTTGCAAGACTGGAGGGGTCTGTGACTAGCTGTGGGAGGGCAGGGGGCAGCAGAAGATGGGCAAAAGTGAGACCAAGTAGAGGGGTGTCCTGGCACAAGGTTCCCTGTTAATGTATTTAACAGACATTTATCTAGTACTTGCTACCTGCCAGGCACTGATCAGAGCATTTTACACTTAATCTTCAGAAAACCTTAGGGTGAATACTCTTGTTAGTGTCATGTGACAGATGGAGGAGACTGAGGCACAGTGAGTTTATAGCCTGCCCAAAGTCACAAAGCAAGGCAGTGCTGGAGCTAAGATTCACCTCAAGGTCAGGCTCTGGGTCTGAGTCCTAACCGCTATGCCGGCTGCCTCCCCATGCCCAGTGTCCCCTTTGCTTCCTGACACACTGTCCCCTCTCAGGATGCGACAAAGACTGAAGAACCCTTTGCCAACATTGACCTACAAGCCCTTCAGAGGGACCCAAAGCATCTAAGTGTGGCCCCCACTCTGTAGTAGCAGCCCAGAGTCCTGGGAGTCCCTTCCAGAGGCGGCAATGACCAAGGCCCCTCACTTCCCGCTCCAGCTCCCGGACGCGATTGCTCAGTTGCTTCACTCTGGTTTTCGCACCCTCTGACTCTGCCATCAGTGCCCGGTTCTTTTTGGACAGCTCGACGATTTTGGTGGCGATCATGTCCCCGGCCACACCAGCTGTCCCTAAAATGAAGGAAAACGGGGAGGTCAATTAAACACACAGGCCCACACATCAAACTCATGCCCCACTACCAACAGCCCTGGGGTTTGAAAAACTAAAACACTCACAAAAGGGCAGAGGCTCAGGGGAGTGACCACACACCTAGGTACCCTGAAACCCCACTCCAATGAGTAGAAAGGCAGCCCCTCAGGAAATTACAAAATTTGGAAGCAGAGTTTTAATTCTATGGGATATCAGTTCATTGCCCCAAATCTCCATGCCCTCCTCAGTGACAGAGTTACACACTTACACCCTGTGTTCTGTGCCCTCCAGCCAGTAAGGTGTGCCCCCTTGACCCCTCTATGCTAACCTGACTCTGGGCTCAGCCAATGACTTGTTTGGCCAATGGGTTGTTAGCAGATGAAGCACAGGTAGAGGCTTGAAAAGCACCTGTGCAGTTAAATCCCTCTCTTTTCACTCATGCCATCTCCACAAGAGAGATGTGGAGAGATGGCCTAGCTGGCTGGGCCCAGGAAGAGGAAGACAGACACATAGCACAAAGCAAACCACCCTAGCCAAGCCTGACCTAGGTCTGCTGAGCCCCAATTAACCCCAGATGGTTGAGCTCAGTACATGCTTATTGCTGAATGCCTCCAAGACCATGTGGCTGTTTCTTACACAAAGCTTTGTGGTGACACCTAACCAATACAGAGACATGCACCCATTTAATAAATACTTATTGGGTTTCACCAAGTGTCGGGCACTCTTGGTACTAGGGATTCAATGGTGAATAAAAAAGGCTTATGGAGTTTACATTCCAGAAGGGGAGACAGATAATAAAAAACAAATAAAATATGCATTCTGGTGCCTGGGAGGACCACCAGCTATGAAGCTGGGAAGGGGATGAGAGGGATGGAGGTTACGCTATTTTAGATGGAGTGGTCAGGAAGGAAGGCCTGTCTGTGGAGATAGGTGTGAAAAGAGACCTAGATGAATAAAAAGTGAGGGATCAAGCCATCAAGAAGAAAGTTCCCAACTAGGAAGAGTATTCTAAGAAAAGGACACAGCAAGTGCAAAGGTCCAGGGGCAGGAATATATTAGGAGTATCTGAGGACCATCAAGCAGAGCAGAGTAGCTAGAACACAGTGGGTAAGGCTGAGGGAAAGGTAGCTGGCAGGGTGTGAATGTAGGAACATGAACTGTATAGGGTTGTGCAGATGGCCAGCAATGGGAGCTAGCCCAGCTCGGCTCCTGACTGGTAGGGTCGCCTCACATCTGTGCGACAGCAGGTCTGGTCAGATAGTCCGTAAGTTCTCTGAATGCTTCCGACATTCCAACAGTAGGTAACCAGCAGAGACACCTTCTTAGGCCTGCCTGTCATGTGCCTCAGAACAGACTGAGAGTGACAACTGGTGAAAGGTATACAAGGGTGCTTGATGGTTTTCAAACCAACTCAGCCCAGGCCTGCTGCTGCCCTGGCCTCCTCCTATCCACTGCAGAGGCTGGGGATACTTCAGGAGAAAGGTCTCAGAACACGGGGATGGAAACCAGACCTAGAAGTACACATGGTCCAGCAGTGAGTTTTCTGTGTTATGTCTTCCTTCCAGGACTCAAAAGCAGTATAAATCCTGGAACTAGACATCATGAAGAGGTCCAAGAGAAGCCTTCTCTGGTGTAAAGGGCAGGAAGGTTGGGGCATCTGGGTGGCTCAGTCAGTTAAGTGTCCGACTTCAGCTAAGGTCATGATCTCACAGTTCATGAGTTTGAGCCCCATATCAGGCTTTGTGCTGACAGTTGAGCTGGAGCCTGCTTCGGATTCTGTGTCTCCCTCTCTCTCTGTCCCTCTTCTGCTCACACTCAGTCTCTCTCTCAAAAATAAACATTAAAAAAATTTAAAGGGCAGGAAGGGGGGCTCAGAGAAAACATGAAAAATCCCATTTTTTTTTTTCTATTCTTTCCCGAGTTCCACTCTTGAAGCTGCAACCTCATGATAAGGGGCAGCAGTGAATGGGCAAGGACAGAAATGCTAAATATCTGGGTAAATATAATAGACTGTCTTTGCCTCCTTAAGCTCTGTAAAATATGTGTAATGGTTGAGAGTAAATATTATAACATTATCTGTTGGGATTTTCAATATATAGAGATATAATACATATAAAAGCTACACTATTATGGGGGATGGTAAAGGGATTGATATGGTGGTTGTTTCTTTGTTCTGCTTGAACTGGTAAAATATTAATTCTAAGTAGACTGTGAAAAGTTATGTATTTTGTGATTGCCTGAGCAATCACTAAAAAATTATGCAAAGAAATATAGTTTAATAAAAAACAGAATTGGGGGGTGCCTGGGTGGCTCAGTTGGCTAAGCATCCACTTCGGCTCAGGTCATAATCTCAGTTTGTGAGTTTCAGCCCTGCATCGGGCTCTGTGCTCACAGAGCCTGTGCCTGCTTTGGATTCTGTGTCTCCTTCTTTCTCTGCCCCTCCCTGCTCGTTTTCTGTCTCTTCCTCTCTCTCTCTCAAAAATAAATATCAAAAAAACCTTTTAAAAAACCCAGAATTAAAGCAATCACTAAAAATCCAGCCAAAGGAGAACCAGTCTGTCAGCTGTCAGCAGCCTGTCCTTTGAGGCCTGGTCTAAACGCACGTGCTGGGCCAGTCAGATCTTTCTCTTCAAAATTTGACATTGGAAATCAGAAATAGTGACTGCGCAGCATGGACTGGATTTAAGAGGTCCTAAGGAAGAGTTTGGGCTGGGAGAGACAGCAAAGAGACAGCACAGGCAGGCTGGGAGAGGGCAGGCTGGGAGAGACAGAGTCGTCCTGTGTCGGCAGGCTCCTGGGGAGGGGAAGTGTCTCCTGCTCTCACCTGGCCCTGCCCCAGAGCTCATCAGCTTCTCTGTGGCCCTGCTGAAGGACAAGTTGCCCCTTCACATCTGAACCCCAGCCAGGCTAGGTGTGTTTTTCTATTCCTCACAATATAGGTCCTTTCCCTTGGTGTGGTTTTTGTTTCAGAAAAAGAGTGAGGTACCATTATTGACCAAGGGCCTTTAAGGTACCAAATTCCTGTTGGCTGTTAATTCACTTCTGGTCCTCTGAATGCACCTACCCTTCAATACTGGCTCTCAAAGTCAGGGTGGGATGCTCTGGCGGATGCCGGGTGAGGCCTGTTGTTATCTGTGGTTGGTTACACTGACTTTCTGGTTTAGTCAGCTACCAGGGAGTTGCTCAATGGGTGTAGATGGAACAGGGGACAATCAGGGCCAAGGTCCCCACCAGATCAGCAGGGTCAAGGTCTAGCCCATAACCACAGAGCCAATGTCCAGCCACACCCACAGAGCTAAGGTCATCCCCAGACCCACAGGGCCAATGTCCCTACCAACAGAGCCAAGGCCTGCTCTAGACCCTACTGGGTCCCAGAAAATTCCCTCGAAACAGCTAACTTCCCTGTCTCATCCACTTTTCTGGAGCAGCAAGCTCTGTAGAGTGAATGCCTGCTTCCACTGGGGAATGTGTTCCACATCCACAACACAATGTCTGAGCCAGAGCACCAAGATAACGATGGTGCTGGCCTGCCAAGCATGCAGTAAGCACCCACGGAGAACCCTTGTCATGAGTCCTAGCCAGGTCGCCCAGAATGCCTGCCCACTGTCCCTGCTGCTCCTGCGCTCCTGTGTCCCGGCACCCTGGCCTCCTTGGCCCACTCTCTTCCTCTACCTCTCCTTCGTTTCCAGGACTCATCTGCACAGTCTGACCGCAGCTGACCCTTGGCACTCTCCCTTGAGCACCTGCCCTCTGCCCTGCCCTCGGCCCTGCCCAGGGGGTGCCACGGCAGCTTGGCCAGCCCCCTGCATTTCGGGCCAGGCACTGTCACAGCAGTGGTGGAGCTACCTGTGAAGGCAAATCTGTCTTCTTCTATTTTCTTTTTGAGGTGCTTGATTTCAAAGTCCCTCTCCTTCAGCAGCTTATACAATCGCCCATTTTCATCTACCGTCTCCCTGAGCTGCTCTCGAAGGTGTGTGACCTCCTCTTCAAGCATCCTACAAGGGCAAAGGCAGAAATACAGGGACCGATGGGCAGGGGTCCGGCCTCCACTGCCCAGGCTTGTTGTACCTGGCTGGGCACTAGGTGGGGAAGAGAACTCGTCTGTACAAAATAGAAAATGTCAATGAGCAGATTTTAACACGCCATTCTCAGAACTGAGTGTCTGTGTACACACACTCACACACACATGCACACACATGAAGGGAGAAAAAGTGCTTGAATAGCATTGTTTACTATGGATTTAAGAAAGGGCTATATAACTGACTGCCCCGAGAATTCATACTTATTCAAGCATCCATGGAACATGGGTAAAAATGTATCATATTATAGGCCACAAAGGCAATCTTAGCAAATTCCACATACAGACCTTTTTGTTTAATGGCAATTGACTAAAATTAGAAAGTAATACTAAAAAGTAGCAAAAAATAAAATAAACAGAATCCCAAGCCCATCATATGTTTGGGACTAAAAACAAACAAACAAACTACATAGCTGCCTGGGTGACTCAAGTCAGTTGAACGTCTCACTTTGGCTCAGGTCATGATCTCATGATTTGTGAGTTTGAACCTCACTTCCGGCTCACTGCTATCAGTACAGAGCCCACTTTGGATCCTCTGTCCCTTTCTCTCTCTGCTCCCCCTCCACTCACTCTCTCTCTCTCTCAAAAAAATATTTAAAAAAAAACACACATTCTTAAATTATTTGTAGGTTGAGAAGAAATCATAGCATGTATCACGAAGCATTTAGAACAGATTGACTGCAGTAGCAATATATATAAAAATTTGTGAGACGCACACAAAGTGATAGAAGGACAAGGATAGTCTTTTTTTTTTTTGAGAGAGAGAGAGTACACGCAAGCAGGCGAAGGGGAGAGAAGGAGGGAGACAGAGGATCCAAAGCAAGGCCTGCGCTGACTGCAGTGAGCCCGATGCGGGGCTCAGGCCCATGAACCGTGAGATGACCTGAGCTGAAGTCAGATGCTTACCCGACTGAGGCGCCCAGCGCCCCCAGGCACTGACAGTCTTAACTGCATGTGTACACACACACATGCGTATGAGAAGGCCATGTAGGAATTGTCTCAGCCTTAAGTTGAGCCCAGGCCTCTAGGTTTCAGGTAAAGAGCATGTGGTTGGTTTTGTTCATCACAAGTTGTCTCCAGCACTTGAAAAACATGGGAACCACATGACCAGTGGGTCTGTGATCATGTCTGCCATGAGGCACAGAACAGGCTCCCTAGGGACAGTTGTGTGTGGAGTGAGCAGGTTACAGAAGTCACAGGAACAGTTATTATTAGTTAACAGCTGATGTCATCATTACTGTTGTTATTTCACCAGTGGCTCGAGCTTCACCAATTCCAACTTCTCTGATTTGGGGAAAGATCACTTGGAAACATAGGTCTGGGGTTACATTAGAGCCAATATCTAGGAGCCATAGGGACTTTTCCAATTATTGTGCAACCTGTATGTTTTTCCCTATTAGCATTTTTTAGTGGAACATTTTGCAAGTTGAGAAACCATAAAATGTAGGATCTGAGGATGGGGAAGATAGATTCTAGGCCAAACCAGAAGCAAAGAGACGACACAACAGCTCTTGCAGAGTTTTTCTCTTTGACTGGCAGAGAATTTTGTATCAACATAGACTTAGGCTTTGACAACCAGTATAAATCAACATGCATTGACTTTAGAGCTAACTGAGGAGATTCTAGACTACTTTCAACCTTTCCATCAACTGGGAACAACCAAGGAGCCCGTCAAGAGCTTCCTTAGGACAGGTATGTTTATGGCTGTTATGTGTCAGGAAAGGGAATTGGCAGAGGAGAAGGAGCTCAGATGAGAATTTGCAGCAATCAGAGTTAGCAAGCCAGCACCTCAAAAACCTGAACACAGTTTTCATGAAAGAGAGACTGAATAAGAAAATCCAAGTGAATAGACTACACCCTGATGAATTTCAAATGTCCATTTTGACTTAAAAATATTTTTTATATACATTTCATATCAACTTATATCCACAGGAGCACAGATCTATCAGACGTGAGTCTGCGTAATGACCTCTGTGTCAAAACCTCTGTGGCTAAACTTATACACACACATCTCGTCAACCTAATTGTCCTGCTGTCTGTAATCATTTCTCTCTCACCTTCCCTACAGTGTTCCTGGGAGGGTTCACATTTGCATTTACCTCTGCTCAAAGCTGTTTTTCGAGTTTTGCTCCCTGGCTTGGAGAAGGCTGAGGCCATCGGAGATCTCCAAGGGCTCTTTTTGGTCATCAACTTTGCTTTCGAGTCTCAGTTCCGTTTCCTTTTGTTTCTCCATCTGCTTCTGCAACCTTTTGTGCTGCATCTCCTGCATGGCCTTGAACTGGAGCCGCAAGGTGTCCTGTGCACCTTCATCTGCTGACATCTTGCCCTAGGAGTAGGAAAAGAAGCCTGCATGGAAGCAAACCCCAGCAAGTACACATTTCCCAAGAGTATTCAGCACACAGTCAGCTCTGTCTACAGCCTCCAAGTCGTACCCTGCTTAGCCTTATGTGTATCCCTTCGGAAGCTCGGAAGACCCACCCTCACCTTAAATTCCCTGAAAGCCAAGGCTGAGCTGAACACTCCTCCCTTCCAGTCCTGAATGTGCCACCAGACTGTTCCCCATCACTCAGACTCAATACTGCCCTCCTTCCTGTCTCTGAAAGCAGTGGCTCTCAACACTGGGTGGATATTAGAATCTCCTAAGGGCTTCTAAAATATAACAAAGCTTGGGCACATCCTTGAACTAATTAAATCCCAATTCCCAGGAGTGGGGTTCAGACATCATTACTTTTTAAAATTTAAGTATGCTTTACACATGGTAAAGTACATAAATCCTGAATATTACAACTCAATGAACCTTTACATAATTATACATCCTGGGGGTGACCACCTGGATTAAGGTATAGGTACTTCCTGTCCCCCAGCAGACTATCTTGTACCCTCTCCAGGCAGTCATTCCTCCCTAGAAACCACTGTTCTGACCTGTGCCATTGAAGATAGGTTTTATGTTTTCTTTTTAATCAGCTCTATTGAACTATAAGTCATCAACAATAAAAGATGCTATTTTATGTGTGCAAAGGAGTCTTGACAAATATATATATATATATATGTGTGTAAACCACCAGCAGTAGCACTGTAGAACATTTCTTTTTTTTTAAATTAAAAAAAATTTTTTTTGAGAGATAGAGATAGAGAGAGAGAGATAGCATGAGCAGGGGAGGCAGAGAGAGAGAGAGAGAGAGAGAGAGAGAGAGAGAATCTGAATCAGGCTCTAGGCTCTGAGCTGGCTGTCAGCATAGAGCCTGATGCGGGGCTCGAACTCACAAACCGTGAGATCATGACCTGAGCCGAAGTCGGATGCTCAACTGACTGAGCCCCCCAGCGCCAGAGTGCTGTAGAACATTTCTACCACAGCAAAACAGTTCCTTTGTGCCCTTCTACAGTCCGTCTCCCTGCCAGTCCCAGTCCCAGGCAAACTCTGATCTGCATTTGGTCACTTACATTTTACCTTTTCTAGAATTTCATATAACTGGAATCATGCAGTAGGTAGTCTTTTGGTTTGTTTTTGTTTTGTTTTGCTCGTGTGTGTGTGTGTGTGTGCTCGCGTGTGCTTAGCAGTACCTTTTGGAGATTTATTAATATTGTTGCATTCATCATTAGTTCATTCCTGCTTATTGTTGGGTAATAACCCACTGAATAAATATATCACAGTTTGTTCATATATTCACCTGTTATTGGACCCGAGTTGTTTCTATTTTCAGCTATTATGAATAAAACTGTTATGAACATTTATATGCAAGAATGTCTTTGTGTGAGCATATACTTTTATCTCCCTTGGGCAAATACACAGAATTGGAAATGCCAGCTTATATAGTAAATTTATGTTAGCTTTATAAGAAACTGCTAAATTGTTTTCTAGAGTGGCTATAATGTTTCACATTCCCACCAGCAGTGTTGGGGAGTTCCAGTTGCTCCGTATCCTTGCCAGCACGTAGTATGGTCAGTCTAAATTTTAGTCTCTAGTGTCTATGTAGTAGCATCTCAGTGTGGTTTTAATTTGCATTTCCCTGATACCAAATTATATTGAGCATCTTTTCATGTGCTCACTGGCCATTTTCATATCTTTTTTTGTGACATGTCTATTTAGATTTTTTGCCCATTTTTTAAATTGCATTGTCTGTTTATTATTGAGTGGTCAGAGTTCCTCATAATTCTAGGTGGTTTTATCTACTTTTGAACTTCAGGTAAACAGAACAAAAGAGCACAGGCACTGGAATTTTTAAATGGTCCCCACATGATTTTAAAGTGTAGCTAGTGTTAAGCATTCTTACCTGAAACCAAACCAAAGTCACATCATCCACCCACCATCCAACTAGTCCTAAATCTGTTGATTCTCAATAAATGTCTTCAGATCTGTCTGTGTATTTCCAGCCCCACTCTCATTATGCTTATGGCCACCTCAGGGCATTTGCACTTGCCATTCCCTCTCCCTAGAATACTCTCCCCCCAGATATCCACTTTACTCACTTCTCTCAAATGTCATCTTATCAGAGAGGCTGTTGCACCATTCTATTGTAGAAAACTTTCTTAGTCTCACTCCCCACGCCCCTTACCCTGTTGTATCTTTCTCCACAGCACTTAGCTTCACCTGACACACTGTCTGTTTATTGAATGCTTCTCTCCCTCTCTGCCAGTCCTACAATGGCAGGCACTGTGGGATGTTCGATGTTAGATCCTCTGTGCCTAGAACGGGGCCTGGTGTGTAGCAGGCAGAAAATGAGTATTTGGTGAAGAAATGACAGATGGTTCTGTTCCTAGGACTGTTCAAGCAGGTTTCTACTGCCCTGGCTGCCCTCTTCTTGTTCCCATTTGTAGTCTACCCTGCATTGGCTGAGGGAACACTTTATTTAAAGCATGGCTCTGGGCCTGACACACCCCTGCACCAAAGAGCTTCAGTAGATGGTCATTAGCTGCAAAACCAAGTCCAAAGATATTAAAGGCATTGGAAGATTAAGTCTCTGTCTCTCTTTCCAGCCAACGGTTGCCTTCATAAGGCCAGTTCTAGTGTCACCTTGCTTCTCAGTCCCTACATGCCCTTCTCTCTTAGACTTAAACCTTGCTGGTTCCCCCAGGCCCAGAACAAACACCACATCCTCTCCTGACCTTCCAGGAAGAACATGTTCCTGCCTGACCACCCCCAGCTGCTCCATTGACACCTTCCCACTGTACTTATCTCCACCCTGTCCATAGAGGTGGTCCCAGAGCTCATACCCAGGGCTTCTTAAAGCTGTCTTAATATTGACTCTGTAGGGGCACAATTTAAAAGTACTGATGTCCAGACTCCAGGCCCAGAGGATTCAATCTAATTAGTCCAGAGTGGAGACCAGGCATGGGGCTGTGTTAGTGCTGCCCAGGTGGTTGGGCTGTGTTGAGAATAGAGCCTGCAGTATGGCCCTTGAGCCTGTCACAGCAAAAGAGGGACTGGTGTTACCTTGGAATCCCTCACCAGGTAGCTCTGTCCTGTAAGAGGCAACTATGCAGTAAAGAATTAACTCAGCAAGTCTGGGTTGTCCACACCCTGCACATTCCAAAGGAAGGTTTGGCCCTTGACCTGCTCTGAAGGAGGTAACCTCTAAGTCTTTGGTATTACCCTGCCTGACAACAATGCTTTTCTTTTCCTGGGGGCCTTTGGCTACTCCAGATGGTCTATACTTACAGTGTGATTTTATGACATAGACTTTGGGCCATGCCATAGCAGCTTTACCTCTGGAGGGGTGGGACATTGAATGACTAAGGTCAGCCATGTAGGCGGCAGTCAGCCATGCCTGGGAGACTGACCCCCCAGTAAAGCCCTGGACCCCAAGGCTGGGGTGAGCTTCCCTGGCTGACACATGCACGTCCTCATGCAGTGTTGCTGGGAGAAGTAAGCGCTGCTCCTGAGACTCCACTGGGAGAGGACAACTAGAAGCTGTGCCTTGTGTCTCCTGGACTCTGCCCAGTGTGCCCTTTTCCTTTGCTGATTTTAATCTGGACTCTTTCATCATAATTAACTGTATAACAGCTTTTCTGAGTTCTGTGAGTGCTTCTATCAAATCATGGAGGCTGAGGATAGTCTTGGCGACCCTCCAACTACAGGAACCCCTGGACACCTCTGCTGAATGTGTGACAGCCGTAGATACGTCTCCACTCAGACTTCATTAAACAAGCAGACAAACAAAAGGGGTTTTACGGGGAAAGAGGGGGTCAGTCACATAGGCATGGCTAACTGCCAGCGCAGCTGACCTTAGTCCCTCAATTTCCCATCTCACCTTTTGGGACACCTAGGGACATCATGTAACTTAACAATCAGACTCAATGTTATATAGACAGGAAAATCTGACTTTTTCTGTAAAGGGCCAGATAGTATTTTAGGCTTCGTGGGCCATATGGTTTCTGTTACAAGTGCTGTATTCTGCTGTTGTAGTGGAAAGCAGCACTAGACAAGACAGAAATGAGTGGGTGTGGCTGTGTTCCAATAAAACTTTATTATGAAAATAGGCAGTGAGCTGGATTTGGATGGTGGGCCTTAGTTTGCCAACCCAAGTTAGGGGAATTTCACCTGAAAAAGTGCCTAGAGATTGAAGAAAACCCTATTGGGCCTATTATTTGAAAATATAACTAAAGAGTTTAAAAATAAATTTATCCTGTGATTCCCTAGTTTTGTAGATTATAAGAAGGGACCATCATAGACTTCATTTTCCAAATTGGGTCACCTTGGAGAGTGAAAGGAAGAGCTTTTAATAATCATTCTGGGTCAACAGCAACTTGGAAAAGCAACTTGAAGCCTGTCACTAGCATATAAAGTATCTGTTCCCACCCTTGCTATACACTGGAAACACCCAGAGCTTTTATTTATTTATTTATTTATTATAATTTTTTTAAATGTTTTTTTTATTTATTTCTAGGAGAGAGAGAGAGACAACGTGAGCAGGGGAGGGTCAGAGAGAGAGGGAGTCACAGACTGAAACAGGCTCCAGGCTCTGAGCTGGCAGTCAGCACAGAGCCCGACGCGGGGCTCGAACCCACGAACCGCGAGATCATGACCTAAGCGAAAGTCGGACGCTTAACCGACTAAGCCACCCAGGCGCCCCTGGAAACACCCAGAGCTTTTAAGATGTTGGTGCCTGGGTCCCAAACCCAGGGATCCTGACAACATTGGTGTCATTGGTGAGGGAGCGGCCTTGAGGTTGGACACTGCTGGTCTGGACTACCCAGATAAGTAGCCTGGCCCAAGCTGAGACAGTACCTGAGTTTCAGGGCAAACTTGCTTTGTACCAGCTGTGTGAGTCTAGAAAGTTTCTAGACCTCTTTAGGTCTCAATCCCTATTCATCAAGCAGGAGATGAGATGGAGACCATAGATGTACTGTAAGGGGCAAATGCAACTGGTGTGTGTTTGTGTGTGTGTGTGTGTGTGTGTGTGTGTGTGTGTGTGCATGAAGATAGTTTGTCAGCTATGCAAGTAGGAACAAAATAGTATATTTTTCTCCCTTCCTGGTGGTCTCTCTTGGGGACTCCCTTCCTCGTCTTGCCCCCAACACAGAGGCTTTCTGTCCCTCACAGTGATTCTTGTGACCCATTGGCAGAAAGCCCTCTCTGGCTGCTGGGCCCACATGACATGGATCCCTCTAGCCTCCACAGCCACTCCTTCACATCACAAGGTCACCTCCTCTGCACCTTATCTCCTGTCTGCACACCCCTATATCCCCCTAGTGTCTTCTCCTCTCTCTGGCTGCCTGCTTCCCACCTTCCTTGGGCCTTCTCTGAGTACCCTCTAACCTATACTGTACCTGGTCACTTGGGGCCTTTCTAAAAGGCTCCTGTCTCTTAAAGACCCTGCCAGGACTCATGGAGGGCACTCCAGCTGGTCCAGGGCTGCATCCATCCCACATTTTTCTTTAACTTTCCCAGAATGCACCGTGAGGATCTGAGTTTGTCCCCAGCATTCAAATATTTTTGGATTTCAAGTAAATCCAGATTTCCTGCTTCTTTTTTGAAAAGTTTACAGGTTTGGCCATGCTGGGACATGCATGGACAGCAGCTACTGGGCAGAGGGAGTTCTGTCTGGGCAGGCTATGCTCTTTCCACTCAACACCATCCTTACCACTCCCAGATGTTGCAACTGGCACATGCACACTGGCTGTCTGGTACCATTGCTTGTAAATGCTGTTCTTTCTCTCACACCTGCTGGATCCACCCACTGTCATTTCCCATCAGCCCCTGCAGATGTTTGGTTTTTTAACTCCTCCCAATGCTCAAGCCTGGAGGCAATTTAGAGGCTTGTTTCAGCCAATCTACCTTCTTGGGATGCCTTTCTCCCCAGGCTCTTCCCTCCTAGCCCCTTCTCCTTCCCTCAAACTCCTGTTTAGCCTTGAGGATCCCTTGGGGACACTCTGTGGGTTCCTAGAATCCCCTGGGCATCCCTCGATCACTAAACTTACCTCAATGGAGAGTCAGGTGAATACAGAGAACCAGTTTACTGGGAGCAGAAGTCTGCAGCTAGAGCCAATATCAGTAGAAACACTAACCTCTAACTGATGAATTTTTGAGGACTCTGTGGATTAGCTTGTAATTTCAAAACTCCTAGGGGTCCAGCCCTCATACTTTTGTCATTTTTACCTCCAGGAATCCTACCAGATTCTAACTGTGAAAACCAGAGGGAAATCTCCTGCCTCTGATAGTGGGAGAGGAAAAGTAACAACAATTAAAGATTGGAAAGAAAAAAATAAAACTGTCTTCCTCTCAGATGACATGATTGTTTACGTAGAAAATCTCAAAGAATCAACAACGACAAAAACAAAATGCTAGAACCAATAAGCAATTATACCAAGGTTGTGGGACACAAGTTTAATATACAGCAGTTGACTGTTTTGCTACCTACCAGCAAAGAGCAACTAGAAATTTAAATTTAAATTTAAATACAACATCATTTACATTCACATTAGAGAAATGTAAATACTTAAGTGTACATCCTACATGTATATGTAAATATGTATATGTACATAAATGTATGTATATAAAAACATATATGTATATAAGTATATGTAAAAAATCTGTATGAGGGAGACTAGAAAACTCTGATGAAAAGAAATCAAAGAACTAAATAAATATCCCATGTTCATGGAAAGGAAAACTCAATACTGTTAATAATTTGATCTATAGTTGCAACACAATCCTCATCAAAATCCCAGCAGGTTAATTTCTGGGTAGTAACAAAGTGATTCTAAAGTTTATATGAAAGGCATAAGACCTAGAACAGCCAACACAATGTTGAAGGAGAAGAACAAAATTGGAGGACTAATGCTACCCAACTTTAAGGCCTCCTATAAAGCTATAGAAATTAAAACAGTGTGGTATTGGGGAAAGAACAGACAAATCAATCAATGAAACAGAACTTAGAGAGCCCAGAAATAGACCCAAACAAATAGAGTCAACTGATCTTTGAAAAAAAGCAAAGGCAATTCAATGAAGGAAAAGATAGTCTTTTAAACAAATGGTGCTGGAACATCTGGATGTCATGTGCAACTAAATGAATCTAGACACAGACCTTACATCTTGCACAAAATTACATCCAAATAGATCATAGACCTAATTATAAAATGAAAAACTATAAAACTACTAGAGGATAATATCGGAAAAAAAATCTAGATGGTTTTGGGTTTGGCAATGAGTTCTAAGATATGACACCAAAAGCATGATCCATGAAACAAAAAAACTGATTATGTTCGACTTCACTAAAATTAAAAATTTCTTCTCTGCAAAAGACACTGTTAGGAGAATGAAAAGACAAACCACAGTCTGGAAGAAAAACTTTGACAGCAGAACACACATCTGATAAGGGACTATATCCAAAATATACAAAAGAACTCTTAAAATTCAACAATATAACAGCCCCATCAAAAAGGGAGCAAAAGATCTGAACATACATCTCACCAAAGAAGATATATAGATGACAAATAAGCCTATTTAAAGGTGTTCAATAGCATATATCATTAGGGAAATGCAGATTAAAACAGCAATGTGATACCACTACACACCTATTAGAATGGCTAAAATTGAAAACACTGACAACACCAAATGTTGGCAAGGATACGAAGCAACAGAAAATCTTACTCAATGCTGGTGGGAACACAAAATGTCACAGAATGAAGTGGGGCGAGACCTCGTTCGCCAGGCATGCAGTGAGGGTGGGGCCAGGAGCAGGTCACACGCCAGGGCGAGGCGTGCGCCCCGGCGCAGGTCCAGGCCCCCCAGCGGCTGTGGCTCCCCCGGCTTCAGCCTGGGACCTTCCGCCCTTCCTCACACTTACAGCCGTCACTGTGCCCCTCACTTCTAGGACCGGAGCGGCTCTGTCACCTCTTCCCGATGCCTGCACGCGCTGCCCCAGCAACCGTCACCCGGGAAACCAGCAACGCTCTATGCGTGACGTCAGCACGTGTCTACGGAGGCCGAGCGGGCGCTCGGAGTAGGAAAAGTGATGACCCAGGTGGGCTGGGTTGAGGCAGTTTGGTGGAAAAAAGTTTCCTCTGCCAGAGACTTTAAAGTTGGCTCAGTCGCCCGATTCTGGAACATCTGTTTTAAAAGTTTCGTGGGCCAAACATTCTACCCCGAGATACACACTCAGCAGTCCTGCAAGGGAGTTGAAAAGTGAATGGTCCCATCAGGAAATTTGTCGCATTCAGAATGTCTTTGAAAAATGTTGGGGAGAAGCACCTGAGTGACTCAGTCGGTTAAGCTTATGCCTTGGGCTCAGGTCGTGATCTCACAGTTTTGAGTTCCAGCCTCTGGCTCTGTGCTAACAGCGCGGAGCCTAGAACGTCCTTTGGATTCTGTCTCTCTCTCTCTCTCTCTCTCTCTCTCTCTGTCCCTTTCCGCTCACATTTTGTCTCTCTTTTTCAAAAATAAACACTTAAAAAGAAAAGGAAAATGTGGGGGTTAATTGTGTTGTGATAGTGAAAAAAGCAGGACTCAAAATAGTAATTGCTAAATAAACTTGTGTTTTTTAAAGCAAGTCTGGGAGGAATATATAGAACTATTAACAAAATGGTTATTTTTGGGTGGTAGAATTACAGTGCTGTTTTTATTTTTGCACTTTTGGCATGTTAAAAATAATGAATACGGTTTACTTTCTTTGTGGAATAGCTCCTCCCCCCCACCCCCCGCCTTTTTAAAGTCACTGCCAAATTTAAGTTGCTACGATATTCAGCGCTAGGTGGAAGTGGGAGGCAAATTTCTACGAAAGAAGATCCAAGGATGCTTTCCAAATATTTATTCAGGCCTTTATAATTTGAAAAACTTAAGGCATCTCATAGTTGGTTTTCTTTTCCTCATAGAGCAGTCACCCCCAGGGGTATGCATGAACATGTGGCACTAGACTACCTTTTGCAATATCAGCTAGAATATTGACACGGATACAACCCATCTATCTTTAAATGTTTTGTTTGTATTCATGTTTCTGGTGTATTTCCTTCTATTCAATTTTACAACATTGGCGGTGGTTTGCACATTCACCACCACAGTCAGGATATTGAACCTTCACTCACCATAAGGATCCCTCTCTTGGGCTTTTATAACCACACCCACATCCCTCCCCCACCTCCCAGTCCCTAAACCCGGGTAATAAGACAAATTTTGTATAATTCCGTTTATATTAGGTGCCTAGAATAGGCAAATTCATAGAGACAGAAAGTAGAAGAAAAGTTGCCAGGGAGAGGGGAAGGGGGAAATGGGAGTTATTAAAGGGTATTAAGTTTGTTTGGGATGTTGAGAAGGTTCTAGAGGCAGATGGTGGTAATAGTTGCACAACATTGTTAAGTGTACTTAGTGCCAATCAATTATATACTTAAAAATTGTTAAAAGTGTAAATTTTGTTATGTATGTTACAACAGAACTTTAAAATATCAGTTGCACAGATTTTTGTGGGTCTAACTGCTCTTTTTTCTAATCCCTAAAAATTAAGTCCTTCCTACAGTTCTATATAGCTCCAGCTGTAAAGTGGGAGCTTTATCTATGCCTATTTATTTTTTAAAAGATAATCATAAGGTCTACCAAATAGGTTTTCCCTCATTGAAATTATATGCTCACTCCCACAAATCAGTAAACATAGCATAAGCAGTCAGTGATCTTATTCTTACTAGAAGATTCTAAGCAAAGTTGAATAACTATCAGAAGTGCCTGGGTTTTTAACTCTCTGACATTAGTCAAGTCACAAACATCAACTTTCTTCTTAAAATAACAATAGTACTGGGGGACCAGAGTGGCTAAGCAGCTGGCTTTTAATTTCGGCTCAGGTCATGATCTCACGGTTCATGTCTTTGAATTCCGAGTCCAGCTCTGCGCTGATGGTGCGGAGCTTGCTTGGGTTTCTCTCTCGGATCTCACTTTCTCTGCCCCTCCTGTGCTCTCTCAAAATAAATAAACTTCATAAAATAATTACGCTAGTACTCCTTATTGCCATGATAATCAAATAGGTCATGAAAGTTCTTTGTAAACTGTGAAATGCTCTTCATGTGTATTATTACATATTTAGCTGTGTTTGCCTCAGAATGGAAGCAAACATTGCTGCAGCTTAAAACTAAGGCTCCATTAGGCTCTACGCATTTCAGACTCTCCAATTATGGACTTCAGCTTTGCAGATCCAAAATCTAATTTGGTCATTATACCATAAATGTCTCTTGGGGTTAGAGTTAACAGCAGTCATGATGTTAAGTGACTGACATGTAAATCAGAACACTAAGGGAATTGTGACCCATATCCAGGGCCCCTCCTTTCCCAGAATCAGACACCCATGAAGCCAAAAGAGTCATCAGAAAGATATTGTGAGCATGGAGTCAAAGCAAACAGAGATAAACTGTCTTGAGATATTTTTAACCCAGTGTTAAGTCTTATATGCCTCTTCAACTCACTATGGATTTGGGTTTTCTTTGTTGGCCATCAGCCTCTTATAGACTCCTCCTAGTATACTTTGTTTTAGTATAACACCATTTTGGCTACAGTCAAGTCTTATTTTATCCGTGGAGATGTGTTTGTATATATAGTGATCTCACCCATCATATACTAATTTTATTAGTAAGCTCAAATGTTTTGCCAAGATTCAGTAGTTCTTGCTTCCAAGGGACCTCTCTGATGGATGGAATCTACCCTGTTCTCCTCCAAGCCTTCAACACAATGGATTGATAAAATATTTTATATTTTACCCCACATGTCTCAATTTCACTCATAGCTCATATCATGGTCTTTCATAAACACTTGGATGAGCCACCTGGTGTCAGTAATTATTGGTTTCCCCCTATTGCTTAGGTCATCAATATCTTGTATACCTACTAGTTTTTAACTTAACCACCTTTACAGTAAAGATCATTTATATGGGGGAATTTCTTCATCTTTCTTCTCATAAAGACCAAAACAAATGCTGGGAACTTTCATATATGAAGAAATCTGAGGACAAAGCAGCTATGGAATATTGGGGGAGGGGGGGATGGATCTCGGACCTGATTGGGTAACGAATGTGTGTATGTGTGTGGTGGAAAGTGGAAATGAAGGTAAGAACAAGTATTTATTGAACAGTATTAGTTTATGTACCATCATGCAATCTCTCCAGGAGACCAAGGCTCTTGAGTTCTGGGTCATACTCTGCCACTTTTCAGTTATATGGCCTTGGGTAAATGACAACTTTCCTATGTTGGTAAAGTCAGGATAATACTGCATTTTTGTGAAGAACTAATAGAAAAGACTATTGAAGCACTTAATATACAGCAAAGCAACGCACAAAAGTATTATCGTAGTGGCGCATGCATTGTGTTTTCAACTCGTTAGGGCAAGATGTGAGAGAAAGCAAAGTCCACTGTGGCCTACGAGTCAGAGAAGTTTGACCAAACTACAATTTGGGTTGGGTCTTTATGGTGTGCACTGGAACTGCCTGAGCCTGGGGAAAGGGAGCATTCAGGAAACAGGTAAAGCATGAACAAAGACGTTGGGGAGAGTGGTGAGCACAGGGCTTCAGCACTGCTGGACAAGGCGGCAGGACAGGAGCTGAAGGGTCTGGGTTTAAGTGGTAGCAACAGGAGAAAAAGGCCAGTCTGAGTGATGGGAGACTCTGCTTAATGAAAACCTGGCAGGATTTGGTGAGTGGTTTGATAGTGATAAAATAGGAGGAAGGAGAGACATTGTTAAGAGTTTGAGCCCAGAGTGTGATAGAGGGAGTTGGAGGGTGTCACTGGCAGCGATGGGTGAGCCAGGAGGGGGGCACCAGTGGGGAAGACAGGGAGTATGGTCGTGTGTGGGCCCAGTTTATGTGACAGGCAAGAAAGGCCTCCAGCTTTCATTCTAGCTGGAAGGCATGATGGCATTTCCTCCTCACACTGTAAAACTTTAGTCCATGACACTTCAGAGTTACAATGGGGACAGAAAAAAGGCTGGACGCTGTTAGAAGCAGCTCAGAATACTACAGGGTGGACCTGTTCCTGGGTTCCTCTGAGGGGGCCAACTGGACACTGATGGGGTTCTGGGGACCCAGAACCATTTATCACTGCTGAATTTAGGAAAAACTTTTCTAACTTTTGTCTTGCTAAATACAAATTCTTTATTTCAAATAGAATCAAGTATATAAATAATAATTGGTAGTTCTACTATTTGACAAGAGAACTTTAAAATACCTTTATTCAGCTTTGTTCTGGCCTAATAGGTTATGGTACAACATACTGTAGATTTACATGGGGATAGAGCCTATATTTCAAGTTCCTGAACGTCTCCAAGTAGCATTTCCTCATCTGTGAGGCAAAATCTTGATTCTGTGATACAGAAGCAGTGTACCTTGACGATTTAAGTTCCAACTCTTACCACCAGATGTCACTGTTGCTCATTAGAACTAGGTAACTCCAGGAGGCAGCAGGATCATGAATGTAATAAAGCCAAAACCTACTTATCCCAATTAATTCAACGGATATTTACTGAACACCTGTATGAGTCAGGCACTAATGCCAGGTGCTTTGGTTGAAAAAGATCGTCATGCTCTCAAAGAGACTAGAGGAGACACATAAGCAATCACTTATCAGCACTCCAATAACATGCAACATTAAGCCAAGGAATCTTAATTCAGTGAGAAATCGACACAGCATCTCCTTAAAATTGAACACTGATTCCTCAGGATGCTTTCTCTGACTCCAACCCCAGGTTAGGTCCCCCAAGCTGGATGTTACTGCTGCAACCTATACCTAGCATTCATGCTTTTTGTAATCACTTAATGGCAGCCTTCCCTGCTAGACTATAAATTGAGGGCAGGGCCCATGCATCTCCTGTCCTGCTGCATTCCCAAGCTTATCATAGCAACAAGGTAATAGTCATTTATGGAGTTTATCAATGCATCAGGTTCTATGCTAGGCTCCTTACAGTCACTCTGCATTTAACCTTCCCAACAACCCCAGGCCACTGATCTTGTCCCCATTTTACAGATGAGGAAACCATGGCTACTTGGCTAGTAGTTGGCAGAACCATGAATCCAGGACTGATTCAATAACACATAATACCACATTCTTTTGGGCCACTTTTAAGAACTTCCATTATTTGATGCTAAACTACTTAGGCAGCTAATGTATCACTCTCTTCCTTGGATGAGCAACCACACTCAATTACACAATGCTCACTACCATTTCAACACTTCACTCATTTGCCCTACCCTCTGGCATTGGTCTAGATCAACTTCTCTCAAATTAGCATTTAGCTTAATAGAACCAATAATGTACTCATCTATTAGAACAGTAATTTTCTAGAAATTGTTTCTAAACGTGTTCCTCTATAGAAGGCTTATCCTTCATGACACAATTGTTAAGATTGTCTACCAGGATCTATGAGGTTTACTGGAACATGGAAAAACGGTTCCTACTAATAGCTTTTATTTTTTTATTAAAAAAATTTTTTTTAAATGTTTTATTTATTTATTTTGAGGAGAGAGAGAGAGAGAGACAGCATGAGCAGGGGAGGGTCAGAGAGAGAGGGAGTGACAGACTCTGAAACAGGCTCCAGGCTCTGAGCTGGCAGTCAGCACAGAGCCTGACACGGGGCTCGAACCCACGAACCACGAGATCATGACCTGAGCGAAAGTCGGACGCTTAACCGACTAAGCCACCCGGGCGCCCCATAATAGCTTTTATTTTTAAAGCACTTTTTCACAGACTTAGAATGACCTATAAGCTACATAAGACCATATAAATTAACTAGTTCAACTATATTTTATAGCTAGGGAAAACACTGAGAAATTTGATCCAGGTCATACAGTCAGTGTTGAATCAATACCATGCTATAAACTCTTGTCTAATACCTGTTGGCATCCACCACTTAACTGCCCAGGTTCTAGTCCCAAACCAACAATCCTTTCTAGCTATGTGACCCTGGGTTAGATATTTACACTATTCATGCCTCAGTCTCTTCCTGTTAAGTAAGAATCATAGTCCTACCTCTTAGGGTTGTTAGGAAATCTAAATGACATTATACATGAAAAGCACTTAGAGCAGTGTGTGGCACATAATAAAAGCTCAATAAATGTTAACCATTATTCCTATTTAGTAAATATTCTTTAACTATAGTTCCTACCAAAGATATAAAACATTCTCTCTTTTCTTGGAACTTGAATCTTGTGTTACTTTGAGGAATGATTTAGTTTTCCAAACTGAAATAAACACAAGAAAACTGATGTGTTCAATTACTTTAATAACACTACATTTACCATGTTATCACCATGGAATGTAAATTTGGGTTAGACAAGAAAACTTTACAAATGCAATAAAGCATTCTAGAGTATACCAAAGTTTGTGTATAATGTCTTACCAAACCACCTTGCTGATAAATCACTAATCACTTCAATTATAGCTAATTTGTTAACAGTTATGATTCTTACAAAGAAAGATAAACAAATCCATACATTTAAAAAGTTTTTCATTTACCTTTGCGTTAGTACTTAAAATACACATTTCTATTTCAAGATGACATTTAAAAATTATTCTAAGACAACAGCAGCATAAATATAATTCTGCAATTATAAAAAAAGCTAAACTGGGATCCATACTTAAGTTATTCTCATGTTTACAAATGATTCTGAAATAAATACTACTTCTAAGCAGCTTTTTGGGTTTGGTTTAGATAAACACACACATTTTCAGTTGTGGGGAAGCTTATAATGTTATATTCCATCCATGCACTGCTCTGAAAGGGTTCTAAGAGCCACCCAGCCCTAAAAACTGAAGTTATCAGTCTGCAAAGCAGGCAGAAAAAAGTTAAACATATTTCCTACATAACATCAAAAGCATGTGATCATCTGCAGCAACTGGGAGTACTTCGGGATTGCCAAGTTGTTCTCTTTACAACTCATTTCATCAGAGGACTTTAAGAAGATGCTTGTTTTACCACTAACAAGTACATTTAAAAGTAACATGTTTCTTTTGTGCTAATTTGACTCCCATGAATGACCTAGCTAACTAGTCACTAGTAATTTGCTTACCAGACAAATCGAGTCTGCAAGAAAGAAAACCAATATGTAAATTATCACGTTATTGTCTGACCCATTCAAACCATTTATTTTCAACATTAACATATAAACTCAATGTGAGATGTCTAGAGCAAGCACCACCAACAAAACCAAGACAGCTTCTCGTCTTCTAAGGCTTAGGTTTTGCCCAGAACTCCTTATACATGGAATAGCCCATACCTAAAGAAAAATAAGTCTAGTTAAGCATTTAAATATTTTGTGACATTAAGAAAATTGAAAACAGTTCATAAAATAGCTAAAAGTAGCACCCTGCTAGCATGCAATATTTACAAGGGGAACAAGACCCTAACCTGCTCACACTCTTGCTTCTTAAACTATTTAAATTTCTAAAATTCTTTACATATAAGTATCTCAAGGCTAGTATGACTAGTTTGGACTATTGAAAATACTTGTTTTAAAGAACAATCAATGTTTATCTTACAACTTTAAAAGGAGTCACACTTACTATGTCAACACCAAGTAAAGCCAATAAAAGAATGTAATACTTATATTAAAAAAAACCTTTTCCACTTTCAAAAATTCAATACAATAGCAATCATCTATCTCTCCCAGATAATGGGTCTTACTGCCAGCCTATTTACATATCTAGACTTCAGTGAAATTATAAGTTCTGTGATGCACAGTAAGATAATCTTTTCTTTCTTTAAAACATTAGTAAGATATATCAGACAGTAAAAACATGTCACTACTTGAACTATTTTTATTGATCCAACTTTTACGTGAAAATAAATATAAGTGACATTTTCAAAGTACTTCAGAGTCAGCTACAAGTATCTACCTTGTTTTGTTTACAAAGAAATCTATTAATGGGAACTACAAACTTGGAAATTCCCTGTAGGAACCTACCAAGAGTCATCGCTCCCACAACAAAGCCTTGGGCTGCCACGCGCATGTGGATCAGGTGAACAGACATTTTAGTATTTCCCCTGCTCTTCAATTTATATAGTCCATATGCAACAATTGCTGCAAACCCCGCCATTCCTGTAAAACCAATCGTCACAAGTAGGTCATGCAAGGGGGCAGGGAACCAAAATGACTTTACTATCAATGTACTTTTGACTATTATTATAAGGATGCTTTATGAGACCACTAATTAACATACAAATTGAGTTTTTAATTTTCCCCCCTCCAAACCAAAAATCTTCAATTGGTAGCAAAATAGTAGCAGATTCAGGAAGTTAAGATCATCTTCAAAATGTGGACTGTGGAGCCAGTCAAGGGAACTTTTACTCTCAGTTCTATTTCCCTTCCTGAAAGGAATCAGTTAACATAGCAGAGACTGGTGTTTTTTTTTTTTTTGAGTCTTGTGAGTCTTTCTAGCAAATCACTGAGACTCAGGGTGATCTTCAGGTCCCCCAAAACATTCATTGAAATAAGGAAGAGTCAATAAAAGAAGTCTGAATACACACATAAGAATTTTTATAGAGAGTGCTATCAAGCCAATCTCACATATTTCAACATATGAAAAAATATATGAAAATAAATGCTTTCAAGATGTGCTTGATGAACAAATTGAACACATCTACTGTGTTGAGGCTTACAACAGATTATTAGAACATCACAAACTTACCAATGGGAACAAAAGGTGCCTCCCTAGCTTTTCGGATAAGTTTGGATCCCTGATCTTCATCATAAGAAGAAAGAGAAACATCTGTGCCGGTTGACATAGTGACTGAAGAATCTGAAAGATAATTTCCAGACGTTCTAGAACACTGAATGGCTGGATATACTTAAAACAGTCTTAGTTTCCACACAAAAAACCTAGTGTATGTATCCATAAGAAGTATTTTTTAGGGATTAACTGGATTTCTTTTTTCTTTCTGAGAGACAGAGACCGTGTGAGCAGGGGAGGGTCAGAGAGAGAGGGAGATACAGAATCTGAAGCAGGCTCCAGGCTCTGAACTAGCTGTCAGTACACAGCCCGACAAGCTGTGAGATCAAGACCTGAGCTGAAGTCAGATGCCTAACTGACTGAGCCTTAACTCACAGCTACCTTTAGGGAGGGCTGTCATTATTCCCACCTATTGTTTTGATGTTTATCTAATGCAACCAATTTCTTTTTAGCACCACATTGCTGATAACAGCGAAATCTTTCTTTTTTAACTGAAATAACTTTTGTCAATTAAAATAGTAGCCATTAATTTTCTGGCGATTTTCACCTTTAATCAATGTCAATTTAACAACTTACTCAAACCAAACCAATACTCCTTACTGCCTCTTCAAAACATGTTGAATATTCTACTAAGCACTTTTAAGTGTAATTTTTTCTGCTTTCAATGGAGACTGGCTTACTGACTTCAACATGCTACCTGCTTCAGTTCTCACCTCTCTGAATAGCTTCCAACCTATTACCCTAATCTTTATTATTCATGGTGGCTGTTTTGGGAAAAAGACGGCAGTCTGAACAACCAAAATTTCTACTTTAGCTATTAAGGACAAAGCTTTTATTTTATACTTTTTTTTTTTTTTTAAGGACAAAGCGTTTAAATACTACTGCTAGAAATGCCTCGTTTTAAGCATAACTTATGTTCAATTGAACATAATATAGTCCTTTAGTTTTCTACTTAGGGTCAAAATTTTTACCATCACAGCAGTAAATGAATAACTGCAGTAGCTAAAAACTGAATGGCCCCCAGGGTCTTTTTTTGTTTTTATGTTTGTTTATTTTTGAGACAGAGAGAGAAAGAAGAGTGAACAAAGAGAGGCAGAGAGTGAGGGAGAAATAGAATCCCAAGGAGGCTCCACGCTGCCAGTGCAGGGCCTGATGCAAGGCTTAAACTCACAAACTGTGAGATCATGACCTGAGCTGAAATCAAGAATCTGATTATTAATGGACTGAGCCACTCAGGCACCCTACTTCCCTACTTAATTCATCTTCTTAATGAATGAGTATCTCCTAGGCTTCAGTTCTACTTCCCTTTACATACCTTACATTCCCTGGGCTTCCCTCTTAAAATTCTCTACCCTCTTTTATATTACTCCTTTAAGTGGTACCAAAAAAGGCAAGATATTAGCCTGATCATTATATGTATAAGGTGGCAGGAAAAAAAAGATTCACTTCCGCTACCAAAGACTCCATTCTCCCCTTTTCAGTCATTTCCCTTTACACAGGAAGCTATTTAATAATACAGTCATATCGCCTTTACACAGGTGTTTCATCACAATGAGAAAGTAACAAATTCAGTTTCACCTTAGTCACAGTAAATATATATATATATATATATATACTTCCTTCTTCACTGAACTGATTTAAACTGCCTGTAAACTTTACCCATAGATAATATAAGGTAGTCAAACATAGTATGCAAGGGTGCAAGTCTCTGATTAGTGTCATTTACAATAAACTCAAAAGTCAACTGACCATCCCACTACCCATACAACATCTGACCTTCACTTCTGAGTTTTTCATGTGCATCATACTTGTTTCAATTATAACTCTCACTCAACACTTTGCTATTCCAGGGGGTGTTAAGAGTAGGTTAAGACCCTCAAAGAAAATCCAACCCCAGAGGGGGATGTGGTGCTTAGTTTGAAAAGTGAAATAAATCATCCTTCCAAGCCCTCATCCCCACCGGGAAGAGTCCACTTCTGTCATCTGACAGAGAAGAAACCTTAATCTAGAGGGGTTGTGCAGCATCACATTGCTAAATAGGAGGAAACTCAGATTAGAACTAGACTTTTTCTTCCTTTTTTTGTATTCCATTACCTGCTAATTGAATAAACCCCTACTTACTGAGCTTTTATTATATACAAGTTCTAGGTTCAGCATGCTCACTATATATGTGAAGAGTTAAAACAAACACTGAAATAATTAATGGTTAAAAATTAGATTTTGTTTGTTTTTTAAAGGGACATGAAAGAGCATGATTACTTACCAAGAGCATAACAAAAACAATGACAACTGAATTTAGAGTGTGGAATCTTTCACAGAGAAATATTTGAGACTGGCCTTCAAGAAACTAGATGGACTAGATGGAGAGATTAAACATATTTTAGTCCAGTATATGCTTATTTGTTGCTTTCAAAACTAACTATAAGCTTCTGAAAGGCCTAACATTTTATCACAGATCCTCCTTCCACCTTATCTGCCAACGGAATCCCACATTATAATCACATTAATGTCTTAAAGATGTTCTCTATACCTCAGTGCCTTTGTACAAGCTGATTTCTCTAACACTTTCCCTCCCTTTCCATCTTCTGCAGATACTCTTTTTCCTAGCTAACACCTTCCATTTTTCAAGTTTTTTTTTTTTTTTTTTGATGTTTAATGTTGTTATTTATTTTGAGAGTGCAGAGAGTGAATGAGCCAGGGAGGGGCAGAGAGAGAATCCCAAGTAGGCACCATGTCAATGCAGAGCCTGATGTGGGGCTCAATTCCATGAAACATAAGATGACGACCTGAGCCAAAATCAAGAATCAAATGTTCAACCAACTGAGCCACCCAGGCGCCCCTCAGGTTTTTATCTTAACTGACCTCCACTGGAAGTGTTAGACTTTGAGTTTATAATTGCTTTGGTTATGCAGTCTTATAGGACCTCATGCTTTCTCTATAAACTTTCTTATAAATGTGTTTCTCTTGCTAGAATCTTTGAAGTTAGGAGGCTAATCTGCCCTGCTTATATCTATCTTCACTGCCTCACACACTTGCATGTAATAAGCATACCACAAAATAGTTGTTGAATAAATTTAAAAATAATGTACTGCAACAATTAAAATTATTCTCAGGTATTTACTTAGGAATATTTAGTGAAAATAATAGCAATTATATGCATTTGTAGAATTTAATAGGTCAGTAAGAAAAATGCCAAACTGTGTATACCTAAGTGTTTATTTAATTCTTATATTAAAGAAATGAAAGGGTGTCTGGATGGCTCAGGTCATGATCTCACAGTCCCCACGTCAGGCTCTGTGCTGACAGCTAGCTCAGAGCCTGGAGCCTTTTTCGGATTCTGTGTGTGTCTCTCTCTCAGAAATAAATAATAAAAACACTAAAAATTTTTAAAAAAAGAAATAACATGTGTAGGGCCTGGTTCCTTACAACCACACGAACCTATTCGATAAAGCTATTCCATAACACTTTTAAAAACTAGCACCTTCTTTTGCAGATATATTCATGATTTTTTCCTTTGCCTTAATTATTTCTAAACTACGAAGTCATCTGGGAGTTATCTTTAAAAGCAAGAAAGTCGGTAATCTTTCCTCTAATCTCCCACATCTGGATCACTATAATTGTTCAACAGGTCAATGGAGCAAAAGTTTTTTGTCTCCCTCTTTCAGGAGGGAGGGGATGGCAGTCTCTCTCCTGTATATGAAAGAAGAAAATCCATTGATCTCCACTCCTCACCTATGATACAGACTCTGTATGGGTAGGACATTTCATCTGGTTGTCTGAAAGTAATCTCTAGGGTAAGAATAAGGGTGTGGGGAATAATGTGGTCATTATTTGCTTTCAGTGACCAATGATGATAACCTGTCTCTGATCCAGAACACCTTGTGTACACATCTGAGGATAAAATGAAGAGGAATATTAAAAATCTAACACATATACCATAGATTTATTGTACAATACTTCATATTATATTTTAGATCTTATAAATTCTAACATAGTATATATTCCTAACACTCCTTGCATGTAAGATTTTGATAATTCTCTTCCTAATTTTCATCTGAAAGTTTCCCGAGTATTCATAATTTACAGCACATAAATTGAAAATGGGTAACTTTTAAAGTATCAGGATCAATAACTATGGGTCATATAATCATTGACCCCAATGATTAATCCATGCCAATAGCCTAACTTTACAGATGGAAAAAGGGTTATGAAGGGTTATATGAATTGCTCAACACCAAGAATACATCTCTGGCAGAGTAGGATTAGAACCCAGATCTCCTGATACACAGCCCAGAGTTCTTCTGATTGACAATATATTGCCAAAGCATCAATCTTATGATGCTGGCAATATATATTTAACCTGAAAAATATTAAAATCCATTCCCTAACAAAAGTATGCATCTCTTTCTTTTAATTGTAAAAAAATATGCAAGTCATGCATAGAATTAAGGAAATTTCTTCCCCAGTGACTTGACTCTTCCAACAATTTAAACTGTGCTTTGAACAGATTTTTTTCACTAGCACCACTTCCAGATTCTCCTAGAATTAGAAGAATTATAATAAGTAATTTTCTCATCTGCCCATAGCAATTGGCCCAGATCTGTCCAAAAGCTGAACCAGTACAAAAAGAGCCATCAATGACTAAATACTCAAAAGCCAGTTTGAAAACACTATTCTCGGGCACCTGGGTGGTTCAGCCGGTTAAGTTTCCAACTTCAGCTCAGGTCAGGATCTAGCAGTTTGTGGGTTTGAGCCCCGCGTCAGGTTGTGTCTTGACAGCTCAGAGCTTGGAGCCTATTTCAGATTCTATGTCTCCCTCTCTCTCTGCTCCTCCCCAACTTGTGCTCTTTCTCTCGGTTTCAAAAATAAATAATTAAAAAAATTTTTTTTAAAAAGAAAAAGAAAATGCTACTTTCCAAACTTATTAAGATAATACTAAAGACCTTTCCAAATGCATGGGAATCTAGAAAAGGCATCAGGGAGATGAGCTGCCCAGCATGGGGTGATGTAACAGACTGAAGGATCTTCAAAGTCCTTCATTTGGTCACGGGATCTATTATCAACAAGGGTTTCAAATTTTGATTTTTCATCGGTCACCTGTCAGCTTGTTTAAAATGGCTGCAAAGGCCCCACCCTGGAGATTCTCATTTAGAGGGTCAAGGGCAGGGTCCAAGGAATCTGTATTTTAAGAAGCCCCCTTCAAGTGATTCTGGGGCACTAGGAATTAAAAGATCCCCTGGTATACAAGACTCAAACATGTTCGTCATGCCGGGGCTTGGTACCACTTCGATCTGTCTCAACTTTTCAATCCAAACCGGTCCTACTCGAGAGTGCCTGGGTACTTCCCGAAGCACAGCTTCCTGAAGTGGGGACTGCCCCATACAGGGAAATAAACAGCTGCTGCCCACCGGTACCAATGAGAGAAAAGAGAGTGACACCGCCGATTTATTTGAGCTGCTCCCAATTCTAAACCCGCGCTGTTTTCTAATCTCTAACCGGTAGATTTACCTTTCAGGAAGAAATTTAAATCCCATCACAGATGTTTGTAACAGGGCCTGAGGCCTTCTTACCTCCCTAGGGTAAGAGAGGATCGCCAAGGGTGGGAGGCAACACGGGGTCGTAGATAAGAGTAGGGTCGTGTGGTTTTACGCCCTCAACCTTTAGAAGAACCTCCTCCCCTGTCTCTTCCTGTGACCTTGTCGGGACTCGGCGACCGTAGCGGTCGCCCTCCCAATCCCTCCACATCCATCTGGCGGGCCCACTCTCCAGAAGCTCACTACTCTAGTTACCGGCTCCCGGAGGTCGGCCTCAGCCTCCTCCTCCACGGGCCTCTCACTACTGCTTCTCCGCCAGTCTTCCCTCTCAGTCACATTCATTCCCCAAGCTTTGGTTTCATCCCCTCGCTGGCTCCGCCTCTCCTCACCCGACAGGCCGTAGGGCTTTGTCTCTGGACCCACAACTTTCCCTGAACCACGAGGTCTGGCCCGAGACCCAATTACACTTCGCCCCCTTCAACCTGGGCATCGCCCCCCTCCTCCCAGCCCCGCGGTCCCCAACACTTCCAAGGCGCTCTCGGCCCAGCCAAGTGCTGCCCACTTCTTCCCTCCCCACGGTCGGCAGTGCTCGGCTACCAAGACTCCCTCAAGCTTCACTTGCCTGCAATGACAGTAACTCTCAAGCTCCAAAGGTTCTCAAGCTCCTACCGGTTTCTGGCGCTCGCCCACGCTCGCCGTACAGCCGGCTTCTACTTGTCCCGCCCACACCTGGTCCTAACCAATCAGAAGCCAGCGGCCGGCAAGCGAGGTCCCGGTAGGTGCGTGCGTATGCGCGGTGGGTGGGGCGGGCCCCGGATTGGCTGGGGGTGACGAGCGCCGGCTGTGGCTCCGTGTCCCCGGCTCTCGCGTAGGGATAACGTCAGAGGTGAGAGTTCACCATCCGGGGTTCAGGTGAGGACTACGGCGTCCCGGTCTCTTAGACTGGTGGAACTTCAGATATTTTTAGCCCTTTCTCCCTCATGCAGCGGCAGCGAGCTCCGCAAAGGCTGTGTCCCGAGCTCTGGCCAGGCGGGGACGGGTATGAGAGGTTTCGGTCGCAGCCATTTCTTGCGAGGCTCGTTGGAGGACGTTCCTGCCTTCAGGCGCGCCGACGGCGGTGGGGCGACGGAGCGCTCGATCCTTTCCGCTCCCCTAGTGGTTATCTGCTGCCACGAACACGCGCTGGGAGCCTCTCGTGGAGCCCTCCTTGGGGCTTGCACTGTGGTGGCGGGCAGCCACTAGTTGCAAGAATGGGGTCTCTAGAGCGGTGACCTCACCCAGAACCTCCAGCGGGGAGGTTTCTCTGAGGAAACCTCAGAAGGAAGGAAGAAGGAAGCTTCCTCAGAAGGAATCGTCTGAGGCCTCTGGTGACAGTGACCTTGGTCCAGGGAGAGAGCCCCTAGTTTGTGCGTATGATAGATAATCAGTAGGTGTCAGGCGAGTTGATGCAAGGCGTCAACTACTGCCGTAGGGAATATATCTGTGACTAAATTAGAATGTAAGTATTACCGTGAAACGAGGCAGGTTGCCAATGCTGTATCACACGGGTAGGAACCAAGTGCCGTGGGCTCCGGCTTCTGAAAATCTTTTGTCTGATGATTGAGTTAAGACACATGTAGGATGCACCCGTGTTATAGATGATGAATTAAAAACCTCATACCTTAATTATATTACGGTATGCTTTCAGCTACCTGAAGGCACATACTTGGTCTGGTTCATGCCCGAATCTCCTGGAACTCTATCTTTGAGCTCAGTAGGAGCCCAACTTAAATGAAGAAAAGACATAAGTGATACAGTAATTGTGGGCCTTCAAAAATAAGTAGGGACAAACCGAGACTTATTTAGGATATTTAAAATGACGGACAAACCGAGACTTATTTAGGATATTTAAAATGACAACAGAGCCTGAGTGACTGGAATGTGAAGTTAAACCAGAAGTTATTAAGTCCTGTGACTCTGGAAATAGGCTAACAGCAGCAGTGAGTTTATTCATTCCTGAAGGGGATTTCTACAAATCAAAGTAATGTTAGCTTAATTTGCAATTTCCAGAGAATGAGATCAGGGAGCCTTGAGTCCTAGCCTCCGGCTGGCCACAAAGTAGTTGTGACCTTGGGTTTTACCTCTCAAAACTTCACTTTCTTCATTTGTAAAATGGGGATAACAGTGGTGTGGTTAAGAGGAAGATGTACGTAGTGTTAGTACAGAGCCTGACATGAAAAATGTGGACTCTTGCTTTAAAAGTTCCTGTGATGTGCATTGTGTGGAAAGAGGCAGACCCTGTCCTAGTTGTAGGAGAAATTATATCTTCCTGATTGGTATATAGAAGCCCAAATCTTGGTGAATGATAAAGATAAATATCTGAAATAATAAGGTAGTGCAGAGATTTTTTAAATGGAGATTATTCTGCTATACTTTATTCCATATTGTGTTACAAGAAAACAGCAGTGACACCTGACAAACCATTACATTTTTCATAATGCAGACCTATTAACAAAAGTACATCATGTATTATTCTCCTTCCTCTGTCAGTATAATTGATGTAGAAGACTTATTTGGGTTCTCATGCATTAAACTAACCTACTTGTAGTTTATAGAAGGAAAGAAAGTAAACCAATCTATTTGTAGTTTATAGAAGGAAAGACAGCACAAGAAGTATCTGCCCATTTTGCTAACTTCCCCTCTTGGAGAGCCTTTGTAACTTCTTAATGTTCCAAGTAGAGGTCTACACATGATCATATCTACTATAAGAGAAATGTGTTTCTAAACCCATGTCTATTTAGGCTGAGGCCCAGCTTAAAGCTATATTACCCTGTATTTTATATTCTTCTTAAAACTACTTTGTGATCTTTGTGGATTTTTTTTCTAAAATTTTGGGGAAATTGGTAATACCTACAGATATTTTAAAAGAGTTCAGGGGCGCCTGGGTGGCTCAGTCGGAGAAGCGTCCAGCTTCGGCTCAGGTCATGATCTCACAGTTCGTGGGTTCAAGCCCCACATCGGGCTCTGTGCTGATAGCCAGCTCAGAGCCTGGAGCCTGTTTCAGATTCTGTATCTCCCTCTCTCTCTGACCCTCCCCTGCTCACACGGTCTCTCTTTCTCTCTTTCTCAGAAATAAATAAAAACATTAAAATTTTTTTTTAAATAAAAAAAAAAACAGTTCAAAGTCACCTTCTGCAATTCTCTTTCTTGGTGTGTATATTTTGGTGGGTATTGTACTGGGTTCATAAGTTAAAGACTTGGTCCTTTCCCTGAGTTGATTTACAGTCTGATTAGGTAGAAGGAACAGATATAGAAAAACACCAAAAACAGTCTATGATAAGTCAGTGCAGCTTCAGGTAGATATAGGGAGTGAACAGTTTCAGAGAAGGCTTCTTGGGACTGGGGCTTGAGTGAGAAGGCTTTGAAGAATGATTAGCTTGTAAATAAATCAGGAGACTATTCCATAAAGAGAACAGTGGGCAGAAGAATAGCAATAGACTATGGGATTGTAGCTCTAGCATGGACAGTGAATGGGGAAAAGGCAAAATTTGTGACTAAAGCGGAGTCAGAATAATGGGAAGTAGGCTTAAGCTACATTGGCAAGGACTTTAAATGCTGATTTAAAAAATTGCAGTGTTCTATCAGGTGGCCCTTGAAGGTTTGGAGTAGGATGTTGACTAGAACAGAATATACTTGAGGTAGTTTGTAGTGTAGTAGAATGGATTAGAAAGGGAATATCAGAAAGTTAAAACCTATTCAGTATTTAGCTCATTCGATTATTTGTATTGAGGCCATATCCTTTGTCTTAAGGATTTGGAAGGCTGCTACATGCAATGGCCTCATCCCTCTACCTCCTTGACAAGAACTGCTACTTTGAAGCAGAAATAGTTCTTATAAAGCAGTTCCCAGGCAGAGTTGTCAAGGACCCAGACCATCATAAGATCTGTGTTAGAAGACTGGCCTGCAGGGCTACTCAATATGCTACAGCTCTGTACCTTTTTCATTTTGTAGATTGCTTTAAACAAAAGCACATGTCCCAGGCACATTAATATGTTTTAAAGTTTTATTTATTCATTTTTAAAGTTTATTTATTTTGAGAGAGACAGAGGGGCAAAGAGGGAGAATCCTAAGCCGGCTCCACACTGTTCGCATAGAGCTGGATGCAGGGCTTAAACCCACGAATCTTGAGATCATGACCTGAGCTGAAGTCTAAGGTTTGATCAACTGAGCTACCCAGGTGCTTCAAAAGTTTTATTTAAAACTAGCCTGCACGGTAGAAGCTTTTAAGCAAACAGAGATTCTCTTGTGACAAAAAGTAATTGGCCTCTTCCTAGACTGCTTATTTAAGTCTATCAAGTGTTTTATAAGAAATGCTATTTGTTTTTTTCCCCAGAAGGAACAGCTGCTAATCATATCAGGTCACCATGTTCTGCTCAGGTATGATAGCAGAACATACCTCTTTTTTAAAACTTACATATATTCCAGAACATTAAGTCTGAGGTACCTAGTCCATCCCTCTGCCCTTTAGGAAGAATAGTTCAAAAATGCAATCTCAGAACTCACCAGACTGCGGGAAGTCACTGTCTCCTACTTGTATATCATTGGTTTCACTCAACCATGTAAAATATTTTTCTTATTAATAATGAGTATGGCAGTAGGATTTGTGTGTTTAGTTAGTGATATTTTCTGTACTGAACAAAAATACGATACTTGAAACATTTTAGTCGAATTAATTTTTCTACTAATGCACTGGTATTATTTGTTACTGTTGTTCTGGGCAGCAACATTCTTATTAAGAAGTACTAAGGAGAAAAATGCGGTGGGGTGGAGAGGGGACTGGCCTGTGTCTCCAGGACTGCTACATGCATATAGTCAAAAGACATGGATTTGAATGCTGTCTTGAATGGTTATTAGCATTATCACTGTAAACAAGTCATTTAGCCTGTTAGAACCTCAACGTTTCATCAACAAAATGGGGATATTAGTAAGCACTTTAGAGGGTTGCATTGTGTGATCTAGATAACCCTATGTAAGATACCAAGAACAGTGCTTGGGCTATATTAGACACTCACTACATGTTTAGAGAGAGGTCCCCTCTCTAAGCCAGTCCCCCTTCCTCTTGCTGCCATATTCTTAAGCACTAGGCAGCAATGCAGCCTTAAACAAATCACTTTTCTTCTCTAGACCTCTAAGTTTCCTGAACTGTGCCATTAAGTCAACCTTTCATTTATCTTTGCTCAGCCTCACTTTCCCCTTCTATCCCCACTAACCCTTTTCACTGAGAGCATTGAGAACTTCTCTTACCTCTTCCTTTGCCCCCACACTGGACTTACCTGCATCCACCTCAGTCATTTCTTCTGGTCTTGAGTGCCATCCTCCCACTGAACAATCAACCCCTGTACTGGACCCCATCATTTCTTGCCACCTCAGCTGTCAACTGTTTGCTCTCTCATCTGTAATTTTGCTTGCTCTCTCTCGTTACAGGCTTCTCCTACCCAAGACTCTTCTACTTATAAAAAAATCCTTTCCTAGCTCCATCCTTCCTGTAGTTATCATTCTATTTTCTCTTTCCCTGGTTCAAGAGAAAAAAAAGTGTATGTTATTTCCGTATCACTCTTCACTCAACCCACAGGTTTCTATTATTGTCACACTACTGAGACTACATAGTGAAGGACATCTACTCTCTTTTTTTCTCTTGGCATGATCTCCTGTACCCTCATGGTTTTTTACTCTTCATCTGTATACTG